GCTGAAATTTTGGCCCGCGCTTGCTGAAAGAGATTATTTGACGAGCGCTTGCAGAAAATTTTGTATTGCTGCCCACTGACGGAACAGCACCGCTCGCTGAAGGCTTGGCCACGCCCCAAAATTCTGCTGACTTGCAGAAAAGCGCGAGTTTGCAGATCGCCTGCCCCGGCGATTATCTGAGAAGTTGTTGTGATATTCAATTGAGCAGCTGAAACGCAACAACCATATTCAGTGCAGTGGGATCTTTTGGGGCGAAGTGATAAACATAATGTTAGCAATTTGAATGTCATACAACCGCTCACGGTGGAAGTTCGACGAAGTATGCGATCTTAGCATTTTGGGCAAAATGCATGAGGACGTGTTTTCGTAGGCTCGCAACTGATTGTTACAGATTGGGGTTTGAGGCATGCACCGTTCAATAGCACCTTTTAGGTAACTTCAACCTTTAAAGGCAAGCAGGCAAGTTTACTGACAGGTACACAGTAGGTGCAGTCGAAATTACGAGCTTTCGTAACTCCGTTGCAATTACCTCACCTATCTCTGTAAAAAAAACCCTGTACTTGATAGAGACCACGATTTTCATAAACAGCGCGTTCGAGAACGCGTATGAACAGAGTTTCCTCTGGAACCAACATCATCAACATTTCGACCAAAATCCGGCGAGCTTCAAAGCCATAGAGGTCATTTGACCTGCTCATTACAAAACCCTATCTGTTTAGCAAGATAGCTTTGTATTTTAGGGCTATGGTAGAATTTGAGACGACAAGATTTTTCCACACACCAGCCCCTCTATCTCCTTTGTTAAGGGGCCTTCGGCTACTTTTTGGCGCTCTATAATTTACAGAATAAGTACTATCGAAGGGTTCTTGCTGTGGTCTATAAGGGGCAATGCCCGCTGCTTTACATTTTTGCGAAGAGAGGTCCGCAGAAAAATTTAAGAATACTCAACTTGGAATGTAAAGGACCTGCTGTATATCAAAAGATTCGCCTCGATGAGCTGAGCACAACGCTTTTTCTCTGTCGGAATGAATTAATTCCGAAGGAAGCTAGGCGAGCAGAATTTGGAAACAGGTGATTTCTCCAGAATTCACCAACGCTTCTGTCTTTTTTGGAAAGAAGTCTGCTGCTATTAATCTGCGCACGATAACCTACAAGAACAGTACTGTTCAACAGTACTTACTGGAATCTTTTATGTTGGATAAGCGCTGTGTTACATCTATGAGAAAAAAAACCTTCGCAGAAGAATTTGAGAAAACTGGAAACGGAATATCGGGAACACGCTGTATACCAAAAGATTTATCTTGATGAGCTGAACACAATGCTGTTTCCAGATTCAGATTATATTCATTTCGAAGGAAGTTATGGTGCTGCGTAGCTTGCGTGATTCCCATTATTCCGCGGAACTCCCTTGATTTCGCGATTCTTGGAATGACGCGGGATTCCGGGAAAGTCGTAACTTTCGTGGAATTCCTGGATTTCCGCGATTTACTGAAATTTTGCAGATTTGGTGAGCGGTGCTATACCTTGAGCTGATTTCAGAACGAATCCATTCTCTTGACTTGACTCTCTACCATGCTCCTACAGTATCCCTACGATGTCCCATCAGCAGCAAATCAATGGCAATATTGTTATCAGCACACTGGACAATACAACCAAAGAAAAATCTGCTAAATTGATCGAAAACCTACTGACAACAATATGATTACCTACCCCGACATATTGTGGCACATATACCAGATGATGCGTGTCGCCAAGCTGAGTCGAATGGTGTCCTTGGAATCAAATACGTCTATTCGGAAGCGAAATATGGCGATGCGACGCGGCTTCCGGCGCACTAGTGGAATGCGGCGCACTCCGCTGCTTTTCGGCGTACTCTGCCGCACCCCGGCGCACTGCAGCGCACTGTGGCGCACTCCGCTAGAGTGCGGCGACTTTTTTCACGAATTATGAGCGAAATTCAGTGGCGTACCCAGGAATGATATCCACGATATTCCATAGTGGAGGAGAATAGACTTCCAAACCCCATTTTATTCGTTCGCGGTAGAAATTGGTCGGAATCTGCTTTCGCTAGCGTTATCCAAAAACTTTTATCTCATCGCAACCGCGAGGCAAAGCGGTGTAATGAAAATGATTTAACCTTACTTGAGCTCTCGCTTCCGAAGAATCATGCGAAAAGTCCATTTAGAATGGGGCAAAATGGGATCTGTAGTCGAGTCATTTGTAACTTAACATGCGTAGTGCACAGCGTACACGCTAAATGACGAACTGCGAAACTAGAACTTGTTCATTTTCAGTGATTTCTTCTCGTTTCCTTATTTTTTTGTTTTAGTTGGCTATATGTTAGTCAGTAGAACACATTTCTACATTTCTTTAGGCTAGAAAATGTTTCACTAGGAATTTACTAGTATGGGTGCCATCGCTAATAAGGCTTAATGTGCAATCTCACATTTAGTTACAAATGACTTGAGGTTACCTCCATTTCAAATGGACTTGACCATTTTACTCCCAGCAGCAAGGTGAGCTAAAACTAAGCCCATTTTTGACCTTTTTGCATGTTTTTGATGGCGATTTTTCGAGAATTTGTTCCATGGAACATTTTAAGGTAGCAAATGAAGGGAAAAAGTTTCATGTCTTTCATGAAATCCAAAGTAAGTGTTTCTTTCTAAACTTATAGAAATGTTACAAAAATCATGGAAGAAGGTTAAATTTACCAAAGTAATCGCTAACAAGCTCAAATGCTCCCAACTATCAGGTCGATGCGAAAATTCCTATGTAAATCAAAAAATTTGGTTAACTCTTCACATCATCAACCAAAACTAGATTCATGGTTTGCATGTATAAATAAAAAGAGATTTGCGTTTCAATATAATTACTCAGATGCTATCTTTTGACTATTCTCGCAAAACCAAACCTCAACGCATTTCAAGCGCGATTTTGAGTCGGCAAGAATTGCTGAAATGGCGATAGCTAGCAAGAAAATTTCTGTGAAGAATTTCCTACTGGCAATAGTCCATACATTAACTACTTAGAGATATAAATATTAGTGCTGAGAGACGAAGAAGGGCTAAAGTAGGAAATTTGCGAAGTCATCTCTTGCAGATTCGTAGTTTTTCCGACTTAAAAAACCCTTTGGGTGTGCATTTTGATTCACATATTGCAGTGCAAGTCTAGCCAAAGTTTGCGTTCCGCAGAGAGCTTTACATACGGATTTGATTTAATGCAGATCCGTAGAAGTCTCGAGAAGCGAAGGCCCGGAAATTATATGAATTTTATTCTTGGAGGTAATTTGAGCATAGTCATCGATAATAAATTGTATTTTGTGAGGTGTAACGAATTGGGAAAGGATAAAAAATCCACGTGACTGATATTGTAACATTAGGACAGTCTAGTCAGATACCGATTACCTTTTGGAAATGTTGCAAGAGTGAGTTAACAGGTTGAGGCAAGATCGAGAAAGGTTTGCTGAAGAAGTTTGTTTGGAGTGAATGGATTCGCGAATGCAATATCTTATCGCACCGCATGGACTAAGTCCATTTTATTCGCACAAAAAGCCCATTTCATAATTACAAGATTATTTATTTATTTATTTATTTATTTTGATGATGGCAATGATGATGGCGATGATGGCAGACTTACCTAAATTACTAAATTATGATCATATCCAATTCTTTTAAGATAGCCTCTCTATATTTGTTATATTCAGAGAAATGAAAATGGAATAAAATGAGAAGAAAGAGAAAGTGATTCTACTCTTGGAGCAACCATCTATCAGAACTGATAATTTTCCATAATTCACCATCTACTATCGTTCTAAAAGAATTCTTTTCAGATGTCCGTTGTCTTCATGATATCAGCTGTCCAAGGTCATTATGCTCTATATATGGCTCTGATTACCATCCACTCAGCGAAACATCTAGCCTCTTCTACATCCGAAAATTTGCCTCTTGAAAAAAAGTCCTCCAAATAGAGATGCAAGTTCTCAAGATAACAAGATCTTATCCCCTCCCTCCCATCAATAAGCCTACTTTGTAGGCTATTACCCACCTTATTACGTAAATGGTTTGGGTCTGGTTTTTTTTTCAAACACATTTGCACAAGGTCAGCTCAAAATGACTTGCCCGAAGTTTTTTTTCTTTCTGAGATTGTCACATTTTGTAGGGTTTGGTACTCTCCTCCAGCATGTCGGATGAGCGAGGCGGCCAGTATACTCGCTTTCCGAACTTCCGGCATACTCCTACTGAATTCCCAAGGTCGTTTTTGCTGGCAAGCGAGGAGGACATGGGTACAAACTCCGTCGAATTATATTTCCTGGTAGTGTCTGCTTGGGCAAAACCTTAGTGCTTGAAATTTTTAATAATCTATAACTGGACCTGAACTGAATATGATTTTATTGTAAACTTTAAAGAATATATGTATCTCAACTGCTCCTTTAGTCTTACTTTGTAGCACGCCTTAGAGCGTAAAGAATAAACAAATAAATAAATAAATTTCGCGGGGAATTTCGTGGATATCATTCCAGGATTTCGGCTCCGGGGGGGGGAGGGGGGCGCGACAAAAAAAATTTTTCGATGAAGGTGCGTGGCGTGAGCTACGCGCTCCGAAAATTTTTTTGGTATGTCCTAAAATTTTCGCGGGCTCAGAACCACGAAATTTTAGAAAAAGGGAGCGTGGCGTAAGCCACACCCCCGAAAAGAATTTTTTTATAAAGCTAAAATGAATTTTTGAAATATTTTAACAATTATTTTGTGCAGATAGTCATTTGCACGATTTTATAACCCATGTAGGTAACTTTCGAAAATTTCGCGACTCGTTCTCGAGGGGGGGGGACGCGGTACTGTATATCAATCAAAGAGCATTCTTCAAAGTCATCCTCGTAATGTCTTGAGTCTTCGGCTTGAGTTGAACAATGAAAAAGATGTAATACTGTGTGTCAGTCACATCGCTTAAAACTTTATTTATCAGCTGTCATAGTTTAGTAGCAATATTCGTTTGACTCAATTCTATTTTTCTGTTTCTGGAATGTTACAATAGATTACATTTTCTATAACAAGCAAAAGAATGAACTTGCCTTGATGCTTAGCGCTGCTAGTCTGAACCCTCTTCACCTTCATTCCTGTTTCTGTTATAGAGATAAAAGATGATCATCCCAATGACGCCCACTGCGAAACATAGCAGCAACACAAACGCTGCTGTAATGCACTTTTTGAGCAATCTTTGTGTGCAAACCGCAATAACCCACCAAGCCGAGGTACCGTAATGTATGATGCTAGACGTGTTTCCTTACCCAATTTTTCCTTACTGGATTGCTCTGTAACAGTGAAAACGCACTTAACGGGTTTTCCATTTATGTTGTAGAATATCGTAACGCTTTGATGATACCTTTTCGGTCAATTTCCTTCGATCCATTTAGTGACCGAGATCTACTTATGGTGATCTCTTGTGCAGTTGTAGTTGCACTCGTACGCTTTTTTGCTTCAGATCTTGCAAGTGTGACGGTAATGCTTGTTTGTTGTCGCTTACTATGTGTTGCATGTTGCGTTGTTGCATATGTTCTTGTTGCATGTTGCGTTGTTGTATATGTTCTTGTTGCATGTGCAGTTGAAGCAGCCGTAACTTTTGACTCACTCCCGGTGATCTTCTGTAGTGAGTACAGTCCCTTCTGAACAAAATTTTTGTTGTCCTTGACAACAAGTCCAGGCTCTAAAAACAAAAAACTATGCCTTAGAACATAAGGATGATAATTACAATGGCTCACTGTCAGGTTCCTTGTTGTTTATTTCTTTCAGATTTCTCAAACACTCCAAATCTTTCAGAGCCGTGTTGTTGGTAACAATGAGTCTTCCATTAATTTTCTCCACTTGTTCAAGTTTGTTGATTTGCTCAGGCAATTCTCAAAATGCAGTTGTCATCGATGCACTTCATAGGCCACACAAATGTACTAGGCTGAGTCAAATTAATGAGAACTTTTCGCGCACCCTTTCGAATTTTTAGCAAAATGCGTAAAATGCTGATGGAAGAGTACCCTAAATTATACTAAACGTAGCTTTTCTTTCTCTTTTCAGCAGCCAGGCCCACGGTCCAGCTGACTCCTTAGTTGTCGAAAAAATTTTCCAAATTCTGAACTTGTCAGTTTTGCTTTGAGTGAGTTTAGCTAATCCTCAGATTTTAGTTTGAGGGTTCCAAACAAATCCGATTATCTAAAGAAAGAGCAGGCCCTGCTCAATCCAAAACACCTCTTATTGTTAGGTCTTTCGAAACTAGCATTTCGAGGCTTTTTAAAATCATTTTTCCAAAAGCCCTAAATTTCAAAAATCGCTCAAAACAAAAATGCATCAAACTCTACAAAATCTTTCGAAATTGGACTTCAGAAACAGTTTATTATGGAACCTTGCTTTTGCAAAGTAGTCAAGCGCTTACCGTTTGAAATTAACATAATCTAGAATTTTTTGCCACGTCTGAAAAAACCATATAATTTGAACGGCAAACGCTTTGGGTTTAATTTTTGCAAATATTTCATCAACCACGAAGTGATTAGGTTGGAAATTATGACTGCTGGAAAGAGGAAGAAAAGCCGTATCAGAGCCGTTTAGAGCATTTGCCTGTTTACATTCTATTTAATTTGAGAATAGGTTTAAAAGGAGATACGAAGTTCTCATTGCTTTTGACTCACCTTACAAGGGAATGGTCAGAAGTCGAAGTGGCCAAACTAAAGAAGCTGTATATCATTCGATACAGTATAAAACACTGACTTCGAATCTGTCTTCCTTATCTGCTTCCCGCTTCTGTGGACGACGCTACAAGCGGTTTTATTGTGCAAAAATCATACATAAAATCAGCGAAATTGAGCACATTGTTGCACTTTTAGCTCAGCTTCTGGCTTCAAAAATCTTAAGTAAGGTAGCTGCATGTTTTGACCCAGCATTGAGGCGAACGTGGCTTCGTACGGCTATATTTTCAATTTCACGCATAATTTCTTCGCAAAATAATGGCCTTTGGTGGCTTATATCTTCGTCCAGAAAAGCGATAAGCAAGTAAGGAAGACAGATTTAGAGTGAGTGCTTCATGCTGCATCTAACGGTACCCAGCTTGTCTGGGATGGCCACTTCGATTTCTGACCATTCCCTTATTAGTAGAGGCCTTTCAAAATTCAACTGCCCACGCGTCGTTTTGAACATCACGCGCGGTGCGGCTGGAAACGTTGGGTCCCGAAGCGGTACAGGCTTGTTGCAAGCGACAGTGTGCGCACACTGCTTTCACACACATTTTTATAAGTTTCTGAAAGCTTTTTCGTCAAAACACTCTTTACGTTGCAGAAAACGACATGGACGTTGACGGAAAATTTCTTAGAAAATAGTGAAGGCCTACACTCTTTCGCAGCGAGCTCTCGCTTACGCTGGTGTTCAAGACACGGCGCGGGCATAATTTTACGAGGCCTATATATCTAATACCTCAAAATCGTATGTAATTGGGCCGTTTTTATGGATTTTGCATTTAGCACAGAGACTAAGGTCTTTCGTTTTTTACCTGTTTGGAAAGTGTACGTTATCCTCAGATTTTACACATATGAAACGCATTGCAGAATGTTCAGTGTAATTGTACCAGCTTTTGAGAAAAAAACGAACCCCAATCTTTGAAATTCAAATTTTATTAAAATAGCAATTGAGTAAAGCAGCTTTTTCTATGACTGCTTTCAAGAGTCCAAACTATTCCACTTGCAAAACCTGGGCAACTTTGGAACGTCACTGACGGATTCGCGGCAGCGTTGTCGCAAAGCGATTCGTTTTGATATCTCGATTTATTTCGACTTGCATTTTTTTCTTTGAACTTGTTGCTAACAAGGAAATAAGCAACTTGGTCTGGCAGATTTCAACGACCTCTACAGTATCGCAATGGTCTTGAAACGCTGATGTTAAATACATGTTTATTATCTGCTAAGCGACTATATGGAAGGAGATGTGAGCGTTAAAATATGAAAACTTGTGTGACTTTCACTTAATGACTTCGTTATATTGCATGCCAGAGAGATGTTAACACAGTGCTTGGAGTGTTCTGATTAAAGAAGAACCTAAATAAGTTTGAAACGTGCTTCGAAACATGCATTACGGGATATTTGATTAATCGTAGTTTTGAACGCTTATAACTCCTAGGTTCGCTTAGCATATGATAAGCACATATTTAAGAATAGCGTTTCAAAGCGAGTGCGATTATATACGGTTTATGTGGATTGGCTGAACCAGTGGCCGTATTCATCATTGATACCTTGAGGTAAATTCTACCTCCAGGTAGTTTTATCACTCATTATCAGCAAAATTACATTGAGAATTTACCTCAAGGTACTTTGTGAATACAGGTACTTGCTGATAATGAGTGATAAAATTACCTGGAGGTAGAATTTATCTCAAGGTATCAATGATGAATAGGCCACAGGTCTCATTTTTCACAGCTTTTGGAAGACAGTGGTTTTTCCATTTACCCCATAAGCATAATGTCGATAGTCTAGGATAAGGGCATCAAAAGTGAAGGTTGCTTGAGTACCTGCCTCCCATAAAAAGTGAATGTTGTTTATAAGAAACCGAAGAGTAAAAAAATGCAAAACGTTTAGCGAAAGCAGAAGGGGCTCTTGAAAATCTAATAAAACGTCACAATCACTTCGAATTTTTTCTTGTCTGGCGGCATTTTGAATTACAGCTTTTCGCTGGACCATGCAATCCACAATGAGGGAGGAAACGAGGGAAAGCTAATTTTTTCTGTGTGATTGTTTTTAAAAACGAACATATTTTGGAAGTGGTGATTATAAAACAGAAATAAACGAAAAACATTGAGTAATGAAAACGTAAAATTTTGCTTTTTCCTACGTCGAAATGCACGCCAAAGACAAATTAGTTTTTGATGCGTTCCTTATTCAGTCTCTCTTGTAGGTTTTGTTTCTGGCGACGTTGTTAGCTTTGCTGTGCTCATAACGCTGAGCAAAGTGCCCCTCAAGCATGTAAGAAATGATTACTTACTAACTTCAATAAGGGCTAATGACCAAAAACGCACTCTTTGCAGTTTTGTTCTGGATATTTCACCATGATCGAAGAAATTAGCATGGCGACGTTGTCTACATTGTGAAAGGAAGCAAGAACTATGGAATGCACAAAAAACCCGCTTGAAAAGAGCTAAAGTGAAGAGGAAACAAGGGATTTTTGAAAACAAGGTTTTCGCCAGATTTATCGTTTAAATCAAAAAATGAGTTCTGCGGCGTTGTCAGCGTGAAAGTAGAGATCGAGAGCTTCAATATGATGCACAGCTTGCTAAGATTAAATTGAAAATAATGAGGAAGAGGGTACCAGAGCCAAAGCGTTTGGGTAGCGAGGTAGGGCGCAACGAGCGAAGACGCAGACGAGCAGCGGAGACAAACCAATGCCGACGGGATATTTGGCTCTAGTTATAGATTTCGACGAGGTCTCAACAAAACCCTGCAACATTACATATCAATGTGATCCTCATGACACGACCAGGAGCACTGACAACGTCGCGGATGTTGAAAATCACTCCATAACGAGATGAACAGCATTTAGTGGCGACTCTCTGCGCAAGATTTAAGCGCAGTTTCTCTCTTTCTCACTCAATCGTAGCCTACAAGGGAACGGTCATAGGTTGCGGGCAATGGTTACCGCGGTTGCTGGGGTTACCTACGTTGCCGGCGTCAGAGACAGAGAGAGCGTGCGAAACCTGGAGGCTACCATGAGGTCCTACAAACCCCAGCAACCTCGGAACCCGTTGCCGGCAACCTATGGCCGCTCCCTAAAAAGGTTAACTGAGAGTCGTCCTAAATTCCAGGGGTATTTTCGAATAAAAACTTTTTTCAGCAGAAGGGGCTACAAAAACGCAATCTCTTTGTTTTCTCATTTTTTTTTCAGATATCACTCAATATGCTTGCCTCAATGTCATAATATTCCGTGGCTTCGCCCCGGAATAATTTCTGTTCTTTTTCCCAGGTGAAAGTTGTGTTCTACCATGACGCTTAAAGTTTACCAGATTACATGGCTCTATGTATCGGTTTGGGTCAAAAACTTTGTCTTATTTGGTTAATCGCTCACTGGTCGTCGAACGACATAAGAATTTTTTAGTTTAGATTTTCACCCTCTTTCTGATAGCTACAATTTCTTTCTGATATATGCAGTGCAAACTTATCGCCATAGCTCTTCAAGCAGTTATTCGGTAACGCCAGATTGTCCCCAATTTTTGAAAGGTTTTATGCCCAGCTTCAGAAAGAGATCGCTTTTGCGACCCTTGGCTACATTTATTTACTTCATATTGCATTATTATTCATATTCAGGTGAGGTTTTTACCCAATGAATAGATACTCCGTACGTCTGAAGTATGAAATGTCTATCCATTGAGTAAGATCTCGCCTTTTACGGCATTGGTGGCGCGTAGGAGTACTAACAATTACAAAATTTTAATTCTTCAAAGCATTATTTTGCACAACTGATGTCCAATAACGAATTCAAATTCCGAATCGCGGAAACTGTATATGCACTTGCGGATTTTAGAACTTCAACACAAATTGAGGCTTTCAGAATGATTTTGGAGCTTTATGCAGCAGATTGGTTTGAAAATGCTACATATAGTCCAAGATCTGCTTTAGTTGTGTCACACCTAACCCTAAGGTATTCAATTAGCATAATTCTAAGCGGATAGAAGTGGCGGGTGAAGAATTACCTGACTGAGAGGCGCTCAGGAGATATTGGGCGAAAATCTAAGAATAGAAAGGAAAGCTTTGTTCTCTCTATTGCACAAGGTTTGCTGTTTTGGAAAACCGACAAAACTTTCGGAACAATCAAAATATCTTGTTATCAAGTATCAAGCAGTTTGCGTATTGTAGCGAAAGTCGTGAAAGGGTCAAAAGATGAGTGCGCTACATTCAAAATGAGTAAACTTATGTAAAATGCATCATTGAATTACCACATTACTAAGAGAAAGAATCTGGAAATTTAACCTACTACTTAGTCCGCTGATGACTAGGTTGCCGTCAATAACGTTGCAATGTTTACCAAAATTTGCAAGGTATTTGTCCGACACTTTTCCTCCACGACATGATTTCACTAAGTGAGCGAATAGTTGCGTTAAAAAAATCATTAAAAGGAAACTTACAGCAGTCATTGGCGAAACTAATTGTGACACGATTTTTCTTCAAAAGCGTCTCCAGTTTTTGCCTTTCAACAGTATTATGGCATATACGAGGATTATTGGAAATTCTAATGACTGGGTGAAGTGATGCAAGATCCACTGTCAAAAGAGCACTGATATCGACGAGGTCTTCGTTATTTTCTATGACTAACGCTGGTGCTAAAATACGTTTTCAGTAAGTGGTTGTTTATAATGGATTAATTTGTAGTAAGAAAAGCCAAGGGTCTTTTAGAGTGCAGCGTGAACATGACAGAGAACAACTCAAAGTAATTCAGTGCCATGAAAACGAGGAGATGAAAGCGGGAGTTGTTAAAAAAATATATGATGAAGTTTTGACGTAAACATCTCAAGCCAATGACATTTACAATCAAATGCGATGGATTATACAAGCAGCACACGAGGGACTGTAGATCCGCCCTTTGCTGGGGATCCCTCGACTGGAGCACGAATCTTGTTTGGGGCGCCATTTCTTACCGCTCGTTTTTTTCGAGCATCTCGACAAGCAGAATTTGTTTTGACTTCTCTGAGGCTTTCATGCGCGCTCCTTCACTAACATGGGTGATGTTTTTGTGCTGACAAGGGAATGGTCAGAAGTCGAAGTGGCCAATCCATACAAGCTGCATACCAATCGATGCAGCATAGAATGCTGATTTCAAATGTGTCTTCCGTATCTGCAGAGCGCCTTTGTGGGCGAAGTTATGAGCAGCTTTACTGCGAAAAAATCGTCCACAAAAACTGCGAAATTAGGCAGATCACTGCTCTTTTAGCTCACCTTTAGGTACGAGCCATATGAACTGACCTAGTTACACGTTTTGGTCCAACACTGAGCCGAGAATGGCTTTGTATGGCCAAGTTTGACCTTTACACGCATAATTTCTTAGCAAAATGATGACATTCAACGGCTTATAACTTCGCCTACAAAAGCGCTCTGCAGATAAGGAAGACAGATCTGAAATCAGCATTCTATGCTGCATCGAATGGTATGCAGCTTGCTTGAATTGGCCACTTCGATTTCTGACCATTCCCTTGTGAGCACTCCATTAGGGGGGGGGGGGCAGCCAACATGAACGATAAAATGTGCCAGCCATATGCGTTGCGTAGGTCAAATATTTTTAAGATTCTATATTTACGTTATGATGGCATTTAAGAATTTAGAAAAAACGCTGGGAGCTTAACGGGCCTTAACCATTACTTTTCGACACCATTTCCAATCCAGTAAAGAGCATATCGCTTCAAAAACTAAGACTTTATTCGCGGTATATTGACAGCCGCAGGAGTACAGGATGCTTATTTCCAGCTATCGTTCATCTTGGCACACACCCCTCCATTAGGTATGCTCCAGAAGTTGTAGGCTATGACACAGTGGAGACACAGTCCACCTAGTTCAAACAAAAATTGGTATTGAATTTTATTGAAAGTTCTCTTTTAGGGTTTATTTGACCTGCTGATTAGGAAATCATATTTACTTCGCATGGTGTGACCTTTTTAGGATTCAAGGTAGAAATGCGGTGTGGGTCAAGGTCTCAGATCTCACTGGAACTTTGCACAAGGGGTCATTTGACATACTAGCACGAATACCATGTATATTGTTCAAGATAGCGTCGCTGTAACTTCGCCCAGGGGGTATATTTGACATGAATGCAGATCACGAATAGAAAATTTATTCGTCATGGTAGCGCCTTATTGTGAAGTTACGGTGGGGATGCCATCGGAACCGAATCGCAGATCTAAATGAAGTCGGTCTAGAGCGATTAGTCGACATGCTGAACACTAATATCGTTACTTTTTCCCTTTTGATGAAAGACCTTCTAGCAGTGATTACGGTAGGATATGCCGCAACCGGTCGAATGGTGTGGAACTCTGTAGAGAGGTTGTCTGACCTTCTGATCACGTATACTGCGCTCATCTCGCACAATAAGGCCTTGTGGGTTTTTGAGATCTAAACTGGTCTAAAATCCAAAAAAGGGGTCTAGCAGCTTTATCATAACCATGGACCGAATTTCAGCCAAGTTCGTAATTTCTCCTCACCGCACCTATTGCAACTCCACCAGGCTCGCTGTGCAAAAGTGCATGATTTTCGTGATCAGCGTGTCGAATAAACCCTTCGGATGAAGTTTCAGCGGGGAGGGGAACGAAAGCCGCCAGTTTGGGCCGCCTTTGCGGAGTGTTGGTCCTGGAACGACATGCAACAACACTGCGAAAGGACCAGCTGGCCGCAGAAGTCGGCTCAAACTGACGGCTTTCGTTCCCCCATCCAGTTTCAGCGAAATCCGAGATATCGTCCTTATGCGTATACCCACCATAACCCACAATAAGGTGCTAGCGTGATGATGAATATCTTATTCGAGAGCAGCGTGCTAGATTATCTCCTTCCCACACCAGATTTCAGCGAAATCGGAGATTCTTATTTGGGGCCAGCACACTGGCAGAGTATCAAAATACCTATCATGCGAAATCGACGCGGTTTATGTGATTAGCCCGTCAGAAACCCCCTCATGCCCAAAATTGCAGGCAGATCTTCGATTCGATCGCCCGTACACCCATCGTAACTCTGTGAGAAGATACTGAAACGCAGAAAAATAGGGTATCCATGTTAACATATTGAAGAAACCCCTTGACAAAGTTTTGAGCAAATTTGTAACGTTTTCACAACCGATTGCTGAAAATGGACTGGTCAGATCTCATGTGTACTGGGAAAACTCGTATCACAAAATGTCGGGTTACTTCCAGCAAAGTTTTGCAGTGCTATACCGCTGATTTCCCCTGCGCTAACTCGGGCACAATTTTATTCAAGACATACTAAAGCTAGTTACATCTCAACGATCTTCACGCCTTTCAGCCGAACAAGACCATTCGGTTGAGTTATCTTAAAGAATAGCTAGCTCAGCGTTTAGACAGCTTCGATTCCAAGACAAATTAAACGGAGTGTAAAGTTGCCGCAGTTGCTAATACCCGTTAAGTCAAAAATTGTGTTTTTATATTCAAAATTGCCTCTTTGATAACACACCCTGAGTATGCAAGGGAGTGCATGAAAGTTCTAGAGAGTTTAAAGCAAGATCTGCTTGCCAAGATTTCAGAAAAAGACGAGGAGTATGTGTGCGCTCCAGACAAGATCCGTGCTCCAGTCGAGGGATCCCCAGCTAAGGGCGGATCTAAAGTCCCTCGCAGCACACCCACGCACATTCTCAACCTTGTACAGGCCCTGCAAAATCCAATTGCCCACGCGTCGCTTTGAACACCAACGCGCGGCGCGGTTGTAAACGTTTGGTCCCGAAGCGCTACAGGGTTTTTGCGAGCGATAATGAGAGCGCACCCTTTTCACACATATTTTTTAAGCTTTTAAAGGGGGCTTTCGTCAAGATATACCTTGCATTGACGAAAACAACATGGGATTTGAAGGAAAATTTCTTGGAATTTAGTGAACGCCGACAGTCGTTCGCGACGACCGCTCGCTTACGCTGGTGTGCAAGGCACGGCGCGGGTAGAGGAACGAACGCCTTGATTAGGCATCGTCTCCGCGGGCTGCTGGTCCTTTCGTCCTACTCTTGTGCATCGTGTTGGGACCAGTGGTCCGCGGAGGCGGTGCCTAATTGAGGCGTTCGTTCCTCCACCCCACGGCGCGAGCAGTTAGGTTTTACGGGCCTATACTTTGTTATCCCAACCTTCCCTAAGCTCTAAGTTGAAGTCATAACTAGAGAAGATCTAAAAAGTCCCTCTTTCAGACTCGTTCATCGAAAGCTGGGTCGACTTTTCTCTCTTAGGGCCGGACGCAGGATACCGAGCTGAGCTGGCCTTGGAAGGATAAAAACATCGTTCATTCGGGACTCCGATAACATAGCTGCTTCTTGAATCTGCGGAAACAGTTCTGCGAAAGAAGATATGAACCTTCGAATTTACAAATTTTGCCCTGTCCACAACCGAATCGAGTACAAGTAATGATGCATTACTGATAAAAAGCTGGTAAGTGTAGTTGACAGAGCACTTCCAACCATAAGGTGCCAGGTTCAAATCCCATGGAGCTTATCGCCTTTCGGTTTTTCCAGATTTTCTTATATTATCTAAATAGTCTTCAAATGGTGATTATCAGTAGTTTTAACTGCGTTTCGAAACACATTTCTGTCGCAGTACTGACGATCTTTGTATTCGCTTGTACACAGGACAAAACCACTAAGTCCAGGGGTAGCTTCTTTCACTCAATGATTTCGCTGTCTGGAAAGCAGATATGCTATCTTTGTCCCAAGGGGACTTTGATGTACACCTCGTTGCCGAACGCCACTGCAATTCGGTATTCTTCCCTTATAAGACAGATGAGATCTGGGAGGAAAGTTACGATGGACCTCAACGCGAGAGTTGGGATTTACCTTAATAGCAATATTTCGATGATTTGATGTTATTAGACATGCTAAGCAGTGGAGGACCGAGCCCCCCGCCCTCCTCCTGAATGAGTCGATAAGTTCTTGAATTTTACTTATATGCGTCATAAAAATGTGCAAATAACTTGTTTATGCTTATAAATAATTGAAATAATTTTTAGAATTTTTGTTAAACTCAAATTAGCCTTGTAAAAATTTTTTTTCGGAGAGTGCCCGCCGCCACACCCTTTTTCCAGGTTTTAGGGTTGTGAACCCACAAATATTTTGAGGAGAATCCCAAAAAGGTTTGATTGCACTGCAAGCGCCACGTACCTCCATTTAGATAAAATTTTCGCCCAAACTCCCTCCTCCCCCCCCCCCTCCCCGAACGAAGCCCTAAGACCGCCACTGATGCTCAGCAATGTTAGATTGATCAGATGATCAGTACTACTTTGTGATATTTTCATCAGATTCAAGGCAAGATCGAATCGAACAGAAAACGGTTGGCAGCTTCAGTGAGGGATCATATAAAATGGAATGTGGTTTAAGCTTCTGATTTTATAGTAAGGGGTGGTAGGAATGCTTGCCGATGCCTACCTTCAAAAATTTTCTGAGCATCTACTCTCGAAACCGCAGAATCCCCCGAAATAAGTCGCAATGTGAAGAAAGCATGGACAAGACATGTCCGACTGAGGTACTTGCTGCCCACAACCGTGCTGCCCATTGCACAATAATCAAACTACTAATGACCGCGGAAGCGAGCACAGCACTGCTACAGGCACGGATTGACTGTGTAATAGCAAAGAATGTGGGCAAGGTCTATAGGGCAGCAGCGTTGAATTTAGTGTAAGAGAAGAATAATCAAACTCTCTCGCGTTGGATCTTGCCTGTAGCTTACGGCTGTCGGCTACTTGTAAGCACTACATTCGAGATGCTTGAATGATCACAACCACGAATTATCAACAAACATTGCAGGTAGCACAGCACCTCTGTCGAACGCTGTCAAAGGTGGCGATGAGTATGGAGTGCAAAAGTAAATAAAAACATTTGGAATATCATTGACTTAGAGGCAGTGTCTCACCAAAACTGGGGAAGTGCGGGTCTCCACATATTTTGTTGGAGGACTCTTTGAATAAGCGACCGCCCCGAGTCAGACTCGATCCGAACCCTTCCATGCCGAAAAATCTGCTCTCAAAATGGCCCGCAAAGCGCGATTTGGCCCGTAGGCCGACGCTTCAGATTTCTCCTTTACGTGTTTTGACCTTTCACTTGGCTTTCAGCTTTGTGGTGTTGCTGCCATTGTGGCGATTGCTAGACTGAGAAGGCACAACTCCTCTTCGTTGCTTCCGCCGGGCCTTCAAAAAACGGGGTTTTCGTACATTCTATGCGATTTTGGACCCGCATTGGGTTTAACAGGAACGAGAAATGCAAAAATCTCGGCAACCAAAGTTTGGTTAAACACTGCGTTAAAGTCGCGCAACATTCGATTTTTCTGTGCTACACCATTAAATGCGTATATAGTGTGCTCTCAAATTTTATGCGCCTTTCAATGGTCGAATGGCAGTTTACCAAGCATTCTCGATTATAGATGCATCAGCTTGAGATTATTCTCATAAAGATGATGTAAATCTTTGCGATACAAAATTTTGAGATTTGTGGGGATAACGTCGATAAAAAAGCTCACGTGACCACGAAACAATTTTCAAGTTCCTGAGAAAATTGAGACTGGACAGCTTTGTATGGGTAATGGATACGCTCCCATCAACAGCTTTTATCCTTTTCCACACCTCTGGATCCATCACATTATACTCGACGTCTCCAATTATTCTTTTGCACTTTTTTTGTTTCTTCGCAGCTCTTACACTACAGTCTTAAATAAAAATTATCAACAAAAAGTATCCAAAAAAGCTGCGAAAAAATTCCAAAATGCTTGACAAAATAGTGGCTCGATGCATACTGGGAAAGGTCATCACTTACAAATTCTATCGGAAACGATTTCCATTGCAAACTATGCCATTGCAGCATAAAAGTTATTACATCTTTCGTTCCGAACAGTTTTAGGATAGTAGACGTCATTCATCCCTTATTCAAAAGAAGACTTGAAGTTTTTATTATTATAACTCTACGTAACGGGCTCTGATGAGAATATCCTCAAAATAATTTGAAGAAAGTTGGTACACCACAGGTGACTAACTCAAGTGCTCCAGTGTTTCAGCGGGTGGATATTCCCAGCTTTCAAAAACTCTGATCGCTGTGGGGTCTGCATAATTGTGAGGTTGTTGAGTTTGCTGCCATTGCACGCGCATTGAGCTTTTTCAATTATCTTCTTCCGTTCCCCACATTTGTCGGTCGCATCGTGGCGTGAGAGTGACACTGGGTGTCGAACTGCGATGCACAGCCGAATGTAAACTCCGGCAGGGCCTCCCAAGCAGTGAAGGAGTTCGACGTTTTCGGTTTCGGCCGGATGCCTAGCTAAGAGTCGGCCAGGCCAGATCCATCGCTGTCTGGTTTTCTGGTCGCTAGGCGGTTCTCCCCGCTCCAAGCCCGGGGTCAGCGATCGCCCCGTGGAAATCAAGAGTAGGCCTAGTAGGTCTGCTCTTGTAGGCGAACAAATCTTATTACTCTATCAGCAAAAAGATGTATAAAAAACCCTGTACATCGGGTCTCGCCTGCGGCGCCGGGTGGTAGCAAGAACGATGTCAGAGTCCTCACTGCGCCTTTTGTATCGGAAAAACGACACGTCTGCCCGGACGACACGCCATGGAGACTGTTTCATGCTCTGCACCTACAACGCCAGGACAGTCTCTACAAACATCAACCTTCACGCTCTTCTCGACGCTGCAGAGCATCAAGTACCACGTTATCGCTATGCAGGAAACGATGTCCAAGAGAAAGGACGTGCGACAGATGAGTGATGACACTCATCATTCGTGGTGAGAAGGTTCCACCACCGTTGGAGCGCTGGCTTTATCGTCCACCCACCTATCGTCCATTTTGTCAATTCGCATGAAATCCTATCAGCTCGACTAGCCATCCTACGACTACGCCCTCCACGTCAGAAGACCATCCACATCATCAACTTCTACTCTCCAACATCGGCAGCTGACGAATCAGAACTACATGCTTTTAAGAAGTTGTGGAGGAGGTCGTTCGCAACGAGAAGTCCTTCTACAAGTTTGTTGTGGGCGACTTCAACGTGAAAGTCGGGATGCCACTAGAAAAGGAATACAAGATTGGGAAGTTTGGATATGGGCACTGGAACGAAAACGGCAACCGTCTTGTTGGGCTTCTCTCTGCCGCACGACTTTTCCATGAAAATTCCATCTTTGTAGAGAAAGAACATCGCCGGTGGACGTGGGAATCGCCCAACCGAACGACTCACACGGAGATCGATTACTCAAAACCGAAGGTGGAGCTTGCTTGATGTCTCAGTAGTTCCACCTTCTGCAGTGGCACAGATCACCGTCTCTTTCGAGCAAAGGTACGATTCAGTCGAAAGCTGGAAAAGAAGGTCTGCCACATGCCGCAAGAAGGAATTATGTCGTTTATGACGGTAACAGGCTGAAGGAGCCCTATCAAGTTGTGAGTGGCCCATCGAGGAGGACCCATACGACTACGACCGGCTTCTAAAAAGATTGCGAGCCTGCGAAGAGTGCGCCTCACTAACTTCTGGAAAGAACTTGGAACGCATTTTGAAGAATCAAAATCGCAATACCTTAGAAAGGAAAGGATTCCCGACTAGTGGATAACGTCAGAACCGTCCTTCTCTTCAAAAAGGGTGAACGGGAGGATCTTCGGAACTACCGTCCAATATGCCTGCTGAGTGTGCGTACAAGCTTTTCACAAAGATCATCCTCGCTCGCATATGTAGGACACTGGATGAAGCTCAACCCTAAATTCAGCTGCATGGACCACACCCAGACGGTTTCGAAGGTCATAGAAATCTGCCGGGAGTACCGACTGCATCTCGTCCTAACCTTCGTCGACTACGAGAAGGCCTCTGACAGCGTCGAAACCAACGCCATCCTGTCAAGGAGTGGGCCCAGCTTACGTGAGGACGTTAGCCGACTGTCACAAGGACTGTACAACGACGATGCAGCTGTTTCATCGCCCCCTGGTTATCCCAATTGGGAAGGGGGTCCGCCAAGGCGACACAATCTCGCAAGCTGTTCACCGCCGGCCTTGCAGTGGATGATGAAGTCACTGGACTAGGACAAGAGAGGCATACAAGTTGATGGGAGATTCCTGTCGAACCTTCGTTTTGCGGACGACATCGTTCTCTTTTCGAGCAGTATCACTGAAGCAGACATAATGCTGTAGGAACTTAACGAAGTAGGGAGAAGATCGGATTGCGAATAAATCGGAAGAAGACTCAGTTCATGAAGAACGCCCTTTGCGATAATGCAGGAATAGAACTGGAAGGCATCCCTATAATGGAGATGTCTTCTTATCTGTATCTCGGATGTTCGATGAACATGGAGAAGGACTTGAGGGAAGAACATAGCAGAAGAAGAAGAGCAGCCTGGGCCGCCGAGCCTCTGAAGGAAGCCACCGACCAACTGACGGACCTGGAGCTTCGTGCCTACCTGTTCGAATCAGCGCTCTGTTACGCAGCTGAGACTTGGGCTGACACCGTAGCCACGTCAAAAGCTTCAAGGAGCACCCATAGAGCGCTAGAGCTTAATCTTCTGAACATGACCCGACACAAAGAACATATTGTCGGACTTCGCAGTACGGATATGAGAAGAATGTCCCGTCTTCGTGACCCAGCATTACGTTGCGAAAGCGAAGCATCGATGGGCCGGTCACTGAGAAGAAGAGACGACAGGCGGACACTAAGAACAACGGAGTGGATTACTCGCGAAGCAAAACGTCCCCGATGAATACCTCCAACGAGATGGGCAGACGTGTTCGTGAAACGGATGGACCAGCTGAGGAATTTTGCACCTGGAACTCGTGGACGCAGCCACCAACGGCAACCCAACAGATCGTGGATGTCTGAAGCGAGCGGCAGGGAGAAATGGAAACTTCTGTGCTGGGGTCCGCACGTCACGTGACCGGCCCATCTATGTATCTAGGTAAGTAAGTAAGTAAATTTCAAACGCTTCCCTCTTATCAGATATTATCTTTTATCTCTGAAACGATTTCAAAAAACACGGGATTTACTGAGTGGTTTGAGGCCTTGTGGCATCCTGTGTAACGGCTGCAAACTCACCAACTCTCGCGAGCATGCAGAGCCCTATATCAGGGTCGAACAAGAGCACACAAATAAGACTTTGGACCATTTTTTCGAATTTTAATTTTTGCAGTTGTTGCAGAACCTCACAAGTGGAGTTCATTTAATCGAAGTGGCAATCGGGTGGACGATGCATATTATCGCATTGAACGCCCATCTCAGATATCGTGGCCGATAATAAGCCGCTATCTGTCGGTCAGTCAGTTGGTCTGCTACAGAATTACAGTAAGGAACAGTTTACATTATTAATGCATGTGAAAGCTGCAACTAGTAAAGTTCATTTTTGTGATTGCTTAGCGGTCTCACGATTGAAGAATGACTGGAAAGTCAACACCGTTACGCAGGTTTACCCGAAACCTTTTATGATGGACACAGTGGCGTACCGAGGGGGGGGCGGGGGGGGGGGGAGCGCGCCTCCCCCCCCCCCGAGAATGGGTCGCGGAATTTTTGAAAGTTACTTATATGGGTTATAAAAATCTGCAAGTGACTTGTTTATTTTTGTAAATAATTAAAATAATTTTTAAAATTTGTTAAAAAATCAAATTAGCCTTGTAAAAAAATTTTTTCGGGGGCGTGGCTAACGCCACGCCCCCTTTTTCCAGATTTTAGGGGTCGAGGACCCGCAAAAGTTTTGAGAAGCACCCCAAAAATTTTTTCGGAGTGCGTGGCTAACGCCACGCACCTTCTTTAGAAAAAAATTTTTGTCGCGCCCCCCCCCCCCCCGAGCCGAAATCTTGGGTACGCCACTGGATGGACAGTGCGAACTCTGCGAAGCAGAGCTGAAGCACTGATAATTATGGGGCGTACCAACCGCCATCGGTCGCGGGTACTCAGGGGATGAGGCAGCGCATGCATGCCGCAAGCAAAGGAGATTGCACTAGAGCGCAGAAGCTAATCATGCGTAGACTCATGATGTAATTTTATCTCATGTTTACCTTCTGATCTCATGTTAGGCATTAGGTTCCGTGCTTATATCGACCACGAAACACTTCATAGGATGGCGCCGTTCGAGTGAAAGGTGCTCAAGCAAGGACGGTGCGCTCTTCTCGCTTATAGGCACCGTTCACCCAGAGCGGGGTTGACGAGATTATGATGACCTACTAGCGGGGGCCCCCAAACTATTCAAACCCCCAAGTTACGCAGCAAAAGATTGCTTCCGAGCGAGAAATCCGCTCCGGAAGGGACAAAAGGGATGTAATCGGTGCTGGTCATTCTGCCCAGCTGGTCACCCTGCCCAGTTTGCGGTTTGCATATGGCGCGCCCGGAAAATATCAGCGCCGCAGCTCCGCGACGTGCATTGCACCGTTTTCCAAAACGGGGATTTTTGGGGATTTCGAGGATTCTCGATTACATATTCGGAATCAGGACCTTCAGAAGGCCTGGAAGCGACAAAAACATGGAAGTCGAAATTTAGGTGGACGGTGCCTTCATGCATAGGAATAAACTATCATCCATTCTGAGATCAAGAAATTTGAACACGCTTCGCACATGCATGATTGAGAAAATTTTATTCGTTCTCTAACTTATTCAATTGGTTTACTACTAAAGATCAGAGAGAAACATATAGGAGTATGTTAGACAGGATGAGCAACAGGATCAAGCGTGTTGATGCAATCTTAGGCCCTCTTTTACGACCCCCCCCCCACATACCCCTCTCGCCCACTTACCCCCTTCCCCCCCCCCCCCCCCCACCCCCCGCAACCAATAACAACCAAGAAGATTCAGCACGGGAACGGTTCACTTCAGTCATCATAATTGACCATTTTATGATAAATCATTTGCTAGTGACAGATAATAGACTCTTTTGCCGTTTATGAATATTCGGCATAACTCATTCATGTTTCAGTGGTACCGAAAGATATTGACAATGGTTCTGGAAATTATAACGTTTTAGACTGTATTGACAGTCTCGTGTTTCGTGCTCGTAAGCGACACTATTTTTTTACAGGGAAGAAAAACGATATCTTCAGAGCGCAAAAAATGTTTTTGACTAAAAAGTTGTTTCCTACCTTTTGCACATATTTTCCTGTGAAAAAAAAAACCGTTCTAGCGCCATCCAGAACGATGTCGAAAACGTGCACGAGCACGGTATTTTCAAAATTCGTAACTAAAGCCAGGAAAAGATTAAGAGCCCACAATGAATAGGTTTTGTAGCATAGTGCCCATACAATTAAAGTTAAAAGTTGCAGCCATACAGAAGCAGTAAGCTCGAAAAAATTTAGATGCGACTCTAGCAAATCTAAATGCGATCCTAGAAGCCAAAAACTGGGATTTTTGAGCTCAAATTTCCTTAACTCACTGGAGACGCAACGAAACAGCCCGAAATTTTTAGGAAAGAAAGTAGGAGGATGGCGTCGTAATAGAGCAAAACTACAGCGAGCAGGCCTCCATAGCGGCGAAAAAATTTAGGTACGATCCAGATACGACCCCCCTTTTTTCATTTTTTGTTGCCAATATAAAATTTTGAAAAAATCCACAGGCTATGAAATTTAACCAGATTTTGCACAGCTGTAGCAGAGCATCTCGAAAGTACAAGCAAATTCTATGGGCCCTTGTAAGACGTATAAAAAAGTCTCAAAAATTACCGATGATCATCGTTGGTAGAGATGAGCGCCGTTGGATGTGTGAGACTTCAGTGATACTACGGAAGCAAGATTTCTAGGCCAGTTGGTACATTTAACATTCTTGTCACACATACATGCCTAGTGTTTAGCTTCTGAGTATGTCTTTGGAATCTTCGGTCATACTTGTGGCAACAAGTTCGATCCCCGTCTGCGACATCTCTTTTGCAGGGAGAAAAATGCTTTTTTTATTTTTTTTTGAAAAATAGAGAATGTTTGCGACTGAGAAGCTTATTTCTTACATTCCGCACTTTTTTCTCAATACGGACCACCCTCTCTTACGACTCCCCCCCTCACCGCCGGTGCCCCCTTTACGACCCCCGTTGCGACAGTCGCATCATACGCTTGACCCTGTTGACCAAGTTCTCAAGTCCCCTAATCTCAGAACTGGAGACATAATCGGTTGTCGAAGTCATACGCGGTCACACACAGCCATGTTACCAGTTCCGTTACCGATATGGCAAAGAAGAAGTGTTAAGATGTTGTATACAGACGTAGCGCGTGATACATGGAAGGCAAAATATTTCTACATGCAATCGTACAGAATGAAGTTAAACAGGTACGCAGCTTAACTTTGAGCAGGAGGGGCTGGAACTGGGGCCTCATCTCACACTTATGAATATCACCTGCCTCAGTGCAAGAATTCGTGCATTCCACGGCATGCACAAGTTCTGGTGTTGGGGGTAAATGATAGGGCTGGGCTGGGGATGCCCCAGCCCAGCCCCTCCTGGTCCCCACTCTCTCTCTATAAAATTGAATTGTTTACTTTTTAAGCATCAAGATGCGGCTATTAGGGCCGTTGTACCAAGTTTTTTCCGTTAACTTTGTGTGCAAGAAGCTACAAGCAAATGTGTACAACAGAGCCATTATACCATCTACCCATCTCCTTGTTGATTATAAAGCATTCCCATACTTTGTTATCAGTATAATGTAGTAAAATCCTACCATTTGCATCTCCGATATCAAAACGAAAGTTTGCTCCTTTGATAAGTTCATATCTCAATTTTGGATTCAATCTTATGAAAATTTCCTGAAGTAATTTCATGAAGGGTCTTAACTACAACCCAAGACTCACGTTAGGGTCAAGGCGCAGTTGAGTGCTGAATTGTACCTTTAAAAGATTTGAATTTTCTTGAACAATCAATTTGCGCCTGTCTACTGAATTATTAAGATAAAATTAGTCTGAGAACAATTAATCTCTGTACTATCTTCCACTGATGATTCATACGTGCACAATTACTACTGACTAAAATCTCATTAGTTTGAAACTGAATTCAATCATCACCCTTATCCGCAGAGCTAGAGCGGCCACTAATCTTCTCAACATTTTTAAGAAAAGTAAGTGCCTCCAGTGCTTCATTATTTGTGACGTATACTCGACCCTCAATCTTTTCAACTTGCTCCAGTTTTGTTATGTCATCTGGGATACCTAAAACACTTCGAATATACAAACAAAAAATAAAAGGTTGTTAGTGCAAGCAGCTATTCTCATTTAGGACTTCCTTCCCGTTTAGATCACTTATTGTGCAAAGTGTGCGAGCTAGCAACAGATACAATGTCAAAAATGTTATAAGTGTTTGTAGGGTTCAATCTTGGTCAGCCTTACGCAAAAGAATTGAACTGAATTTTTTTGAAAGACTTTTTCAAGGCTTTTTACGAAGCTTATTGTAAACCTATGTCAGAGTAGCAAGGACGCAAAGTTTCGTGGGCCAGTCATCGTCGTGTTCTTTTAGATCTCTTATTTTGTTCTCAAAAGAAAGCAAGCAAGTTGCGATGAGCAGATACTAATATGTGAAAAAGACATGACATGTGAAAAAGCTAGCTCCGTCGATCGGCGCTCATTGAAGCTCAATCGCATCACTAATGCAGAAAGCAGTCATATTACTGCGTGAAATGGAAGAGTTTCAATTTGTTAAGTATTGCTAACGTTGGACAACGGTGCGGGGCAGCTCGAGCTTTTGCATTAATTCTTAAAAAATTTGTCTGTGCGCGTCTGGTGCTGTGATGTGTTGGGAATCCGACACTGGGTCTATACTTTTCCATTCATTTTACTCTGCAGATCTTCTCAGGAATACCGCTTTCTTTTTGGGTGCATGCCTCTAATGGTTGTTCTTTCGATTAATAAAATCATTTATGCCGATAAGCTTAGCTGCTTGTCCCATTTTCTTTCTCATAAACAAGGTGCTGTTGTGTTTATCCGTTTCACCAACCCTTCTTGTTACTTTTTTCGCCTACTTCACCGGCGCTCTCTCCAATCACCAATTATCCTCATATAATGCCTGATGGCTTCACATCAAGTTAGTGAAGCCTGCACGCGTATCCATTATTCTCGCAAACTAACCAAGCGATTCATACTGTTGCCATCAATCAGTCTAGATAAAATGCAATGCTGAGCTTATCACTCCGCTAAGCCCAAGGACTTGACGTTAGTGGAGTCAGTTTTAGGATATTTAATGTTCTTAAGAAAAACGGGAGTATTTTGAAGATCCAAAAGAACAAGAATCACCATTTGCAAAAATTCATGCTTTGTTTTTATTCCATGTAGAAAAGTAAAGAAAGGCCGTTAGCCTATCGTAAATTGGCGCTCCGTTCCTTTACTAGATTTCGGTGGGACGTAACTGAGATCAAAGGACCGTGCTCCTTTTCGAAGCGGCTTATAATTACATACATAATTTACTCGCATTTGAGGAATACTTAGATAGACCAGCTTTTATCGCGGGACTTTGGGTAAGTGAATTGAAGCAGACTCGCCCGCGCAATCAAATTTAGAGCAAATCAACAAGTTAGTACATTTGAAATCGTAGTTTTTACCAAGGAAATCTTTTTCATGACTGCGAGAAGACAAGTGAAGCATATGCTCTACTTCTTTATTTGAATTTTTCTGATAGGATGAATCTCTGTTATAAGGTGCTGGATAATTGAGCCTTAATTCATTTGCATTGCTGTAATCCACGTTGGGAACGAGTGGCGCGGTGCTACGTGGCGCCGTTATAAACCAATATGAATTTGAAAAAAACTTTTTTCTGCCTTTTTTTGGTAGCACATGCCTGCAGAGATTGGTGAACGCGCAAAATGCTTCATCATTTCATACAACTACGGTACTGCTCTTATATGTTCGAGCCACTTCGTACTCAGTAGCGGAGATAGTAAGACGTATGGTGAACCGCATATCCGGCTAAAATGAACTTGCCTCAGGAACGCTCTTCAATGAATAGATCACAAAAATAGAGTCAGTTTGATTTTTCGGCCTGGATGGTGCGAAGCATAAGAGGAAAAAAAGTCAGCTAAACTTGTTTTCGGAAAACGGGTGTGGATCAGTTACTTCCAACGCGCTTAAAAGTGTTAGCTAATATTGCTCAAAATAGATCGGCAAGTGGATAGGTGAGTGCGCGTAAAAGGCATTCTAGTACACGTTTTGAAGGCTAAAAAGCAGAAGTTGTTCAGAAACTCTGCAACAAAGCATGTGAGAACTTTAACTTACTAGTTAGTCCGTTAATATACAAATCGCCATCAATAACGTTGCAATGTTTATCAAAGTTTGCAAGATAAGTTTCTGATACCTGTCCTCCGTTACATGATTTTACTGGAACATGTAGCATTAATTTACTCTTTTTTTTTTTCAAATAAGAATCCAACTAACAGCAATCTTCAACAAAGTTTACGCTGGCATCCTTTTCCCATAGGAATTTTTTCAGCTTTTTCCTTTCAGCAATGTTGTGACATATACGAGGATTATTAGAGATTTTTATGATTGGAGGGTCCGATGTGATTTCTATAGTTAATAAGGCACTGATGTCGACAAGATTTTCATTATCCTGTATGACTAACGCCGGTGCTGAAATAGTGCTTTGATTGGATGAAAGTATACTTTTACATTTTTATTAAATGGTAAAAAACCGGCTCAGGAGAATTCAGGAGATGTAGTGAAAAAATATAAGAATGTCCCCCCTTCTCTGCTCTCATTCTGTTACATTAGGAGATCATACTATGTAAAAGAAATAGTTAGCAAAATTTTGGACAACTAATTATTGATTTTTCGCAGTTTCGAAATATCGAACTCGGATTTGCCAACTTGAAAGGCAATAACCATTATTTATTGTTTTCTGGCGCACGTTCGTGTTCACTACATGACTGAATATAAATAAGTAAATAAATAAATAAATCATCTCAGTGATCCCTGTCTCTTATCGATCCTTTGCTTGTTGCGCTCACTTAATGTATTTCAGTGGTGTAACGGAGATAATATGGAGGCAAACATTTTTGGAATTCTTACAGTAGAACTTCATCAACTTATTGTTTCAAATCACTTCCCTGCAAACCTAGGGATAGCGAGCAGCTTAGAAAATTTCTATCAAATTGCATGTTTTCAAATGTGCTCTTGGCGTAACATAACATGAAAGTATATCAAACGCTAAGAGCCGCATGCAACATCTCCGCTGAGGGATCGCAACTTCAGAATAGCTTCGACCCTGATGCATTAGATATCTAAACTTCACACTGTCTACCTCTCCATAAGTATTCCTACTATTCTTCACTACAAATAATAGTAGCGAGAAGCTTTATGAACCGCAATTCCAGCATTTTGTATGATCGCTGATGTCCAGGCGGCCGACCGTCTTTACTTCAAAGGCATTTTTCTTTCTTTAAATTTAACAAAACCACTCCGTAGTTTTACTAACTATCTAGCCCAAGAGTGCCAAGCATGTTGCTGATAAAAACAAACGCGTTAGTGATGTATTAAATTATCGATGAACTCCAACTTTCGACTAGTGATTCATCCAAATTTTATGACTTCAAACCATTTGTTCTTATTAGAAACACGCTTAGCACTGTGTTTGGAAACTTTTTTATTCTTTCACTTCGTTTTCATTACAGTGAGGAAAGAATTGCATTTGAAGAAAAGACGATTGGCCACCGGGGATTGTCAGGGGATCTACAAAAAGCTGTAAAATGCGGCTTGTACAAGTTCTCGCTCTTGTCAAATATGTTTATAGTGAAGCATAGTAGGAATACTTATGGAAGGATAGACAGCTTAAGAACCGGATATCTGGAGCTTCAGTATATGAAACTTTCTTTTGAGGATCCCCTCCCCCCCGGCTGGAATGTTTATGCATGCGGCCCTAAGGCAAATAACAAATAGATGTTTAGTTTAATACAAAGCTGTTGTATATACGAGCTAAGCGCCTCCGCGCGAGGTATATTGCATCCCATGTCTGCCAGCAAAAAAGTGTTCCAGGTCGCAGCGTTCGCGCTCGCCTCGCAATGACAAGCTAGTCGCCTTTGTCCATGGCTAAACATTCACATGGACGATAAAAGGTATTTTGATCAGCAGATGTTACCTAGCAGGGGCTACCTTGAATTCAAATTATTTTAGCTGTTAATTTAACCAACTTCTTTATCATCTTATGTCTTTCGCCGGCCTCGCAAACGCCATGATCAGTTGTTCACCAGATGAAATGCCAGAATTTCGCCAATAATTAACCAAAGCTCCCGTGCGAAAACATCAGTTCCACTAATAAAGCGCAATTCATTGTTCACCTGGACTTAGCGTTATACAATAGGTCCTTAGCACAAATTTCAATTATTCAAATCTCTTGCTTGCGTCATTTATACTATGAGATGTCGACGACTTGTAAAAGCAAGGTGCATTTAGTTAATTTCTAGGAGGTTCATCCGGACCACAAACAGTCTGTCGGCTTTCCTTGAGGAAGTAATGCTTTGCAAGAAAGTAGTGTTAGATAGAGAACGACCCCGGCCTCCGGGGTCGTTCTCTATCTAACACTACTGGCGGCCTCCGTGGACTACTGGTTGGAACGACACCTCTGGGGAACCGCCCCGCGGATTTTCCCCAACGGAGATTATCGGAGTTTTCGCGGAATCCCTTATTCGGTATCGCGGACATGGGAAGATTCCGGAACGAAATAAAACTTGGAAGCCGAGATTTTGGGTAGACGGAGCCTTCAAACGGGATATGTTTTAATGCTTACAAGGAAATGGTCAGAAATCGAAGTGGCCAACCCAAGCAAGCTGCCCACCAATAGATGGGCGGCGTGGCAGGAGTTCCCAAAGCCTCGCCGACTTTCCTTGCAGGAGTGTTTAGCACCTTCAGAGAAACCTGGAAGGGACATCACACCTTCACAGGTCAAGGAACGGCTCCGCCTTCTAATTGCGATCATTCTGGATTGTGCAAATGCGGTGGAATCTCAAATCAAGCTGATTCGAGAGACGTCAATCGAATTCAATTTTTTTTCAAACATTAGAAACAGCGAATGAGTGCAGATAAATTCACAAAATCTTGGTTACCAGTGTTAGTTATGTCTCAAAGAAAAGCAAAGCAACACTTTCTTCGCAACCTTTACCTGCTCCCTTAGGAATATTTTGTTATGCTATGCTAAGATGATTGCGTTGTGTCAAGCGCTCGAATCTCCGAACAAGTGAACATGTCTAACAAGCGTCCAAGTACAAACATGCAAGCATATGAACAGCATGTTAGAGTGAAGGAAACCGAAAACTCGTTACAAAATAATTTTTCTAATGTCGAATCTACAAAAAGTAGATTTCTAGCCTTCGATAAGTACAGTCATTTGGGAAGTCGAACGCTGAATGCCCTAAGCCAGCTCTAAATTGGCCACCTAATATGTAAATCTCGAAATCTTCTGGTAGTGTGACCGATTTTCTTCGAGAGAATGCACAAATGATCAATTTTCATTTATATACCTGAGCAGCCGATTTTTCATTCCAAACAATCAAATTTTCAAATCGAACGATCCAGAGGGTGGCAACATTTATTTCTAGAAATAATTTTTTATATCTGAACTGGTAACCGCCAGTTTGAAAAAAAACTGGGCGCTGCATTCATACTAAAGTTTTGATACTAACTGAATAGAGCGTACTTATCAGTGAAGTTCGTAATCACTGAAAATCACATGCTCATAGCTATTTCCAAATAGTTCAACTATGAAATGACAACTACTTCTTTTTTCCAATTACTTCTTTCTCAATACTTCAATTTCTGATTCTCTGTTCTCTCTGCTTGCTCACCTCACAATGAGGGCAGTTAATGGGTGGAGCAATGGGCGGTCCCTGACCTCTGAGATGCGGAGGTGCTAGAACCCTCCTGGGTGCGATTGATGGTGCGAACTTGGTGCGAGGAAAGGTGCTAGGAACTCCTGCACGCCCTCCCAATAGATGCAGCATCAAACGCTATTTTCGAATCTGTATCCCGCAATGAACTGCCCATAACCGTCCACTAAGGCGTTATGCATGTTTGGGTTCCAGAGATTCAAAATCAGCACTTCATGCTGCATCTAATGGTATGCAGCTCGTTCGGATTGGCTACTCCGATTTCTGACTATTTCCTTGTTACTGTTTTCAACTAGATTGCTTGTCACTTGTTTTAAGGCCCTAATGTCTACAAACTAAAAGTATTTTTGGCAAACAGTCGTGTTTAACAGCTTTATAGATTATGTTTTGCAAAAACTTGTTTGTCGATCACTTCTCGTACAGCTGACTTATAATAGAGTAGCTTGGAACGTGACAATGCAGAAATACCAGAACACGTCCCAAGGTTATCGTTAGTGACAAACACAGCCTTTTTGAATCGAAAAATTATTTTGCAAAAAATGTTGTCGATAAGATCAACTATACAGGGTGTCCGTAAAAAATGTGCCTACTGTTTGATTGTGAATAACCCTCTTCTAACGAAGTCTTTCGAGAAGCTCTAGGCACCATTTTGTAGAGCTGGCTTCAACTTAGATTTACAGTATAGAGCGAATCGCCGATCTCTCATTCTTACTGTAGGATTACGGTGGAAACTTCAAAAAGGGGTTTTGAGCCGTGAAAGGCCATATTTTGCCTCGGAAAGGAAACAAAACAGCCTGAAAACTTTTACACTAGGCTAATTAGAGTTGCCGATTTTAACTGTGAGATTCCCAACTTATAATGATGCTTCATTGAAGATTTATGCCAGTAAGAGGCAGCGGCCATTTTTTCAATGTCGCTAAAAAGCGCGGTTACACCGTTTAAAAAGCTTCGCAATCTTGTGACTAGTTGAATATTGAACTCAGCGTCCATGAAAACCTTATTGCACAAGTCTTCACATTTTTTTGAAAAATTTTAAAATGGCAGCTTTTTTCACATTGACACCATATGTTTAAAGTTTCTACCGTAATCCTACAGTAAGAATGAGAGATCGGCGATTCGCTCTATACTGTAAATCTAAATTGAAGCCAGCTCTACAAAATGGTGCCTAAAGCTTCTCGAAAGATTTCGTTAGAAGAGAGTTATTCACAATCAAACAGTAGGCACATTTTTTACGGACACCCTGTATATATAGGATGTCCCAAAAAAATGTGCCTACTGTTTGTTTGTTAGTAACTCTTTTGTAATAAAGTCTTCTGAGAAGCTTTAAGTGTTGTTTTGTAGAGCTGGCTTCAACTTAGATTTACAGTATGGAGCAAATCACGTGTCGCTCTTCATTGGTTCGGATTACGGTAGAAACCTTCAATTACATGGTGTCCTTGTGGAAGAAGCTGGCGTATCTTGAATTTTCAACAAAAATATAAGAACTTGTGTAATAGGGTTTTTGTGGACGCTGAGCTCAACGCTCAACTACGTACAAGATTGCGAAGTTTTTTGGACGGTGTAACCGCACTTTCAAGAACATTGAAAAACGGCCGCTACTGCTTCTCTCGCATAACTATTTAATAATATCACATAAGTTGCAAACTTCACATTTAGAATCAGCAACACTAATTAGCCCAGAGTAAAAAGTTTTCAGGCTGCTTTGTTTCCTGTCTGAGGCAAAATATGGTCTTTCATGGCTCTAAACCTCTTCGAAGTTTCTATCGTAATCCTACAGTAACGAAAAGTTTGAAGATAGCTCCACAAAATGGTACCTGAAGCTTCTTGCTAGACTTCGTTAGAAGAGAATTATCAACAATTAAACAGTAGGCACATTTTTTGGGACACCCTGTATACTTAAAAATAAACAAGAAATGTATTGAAAAAGACCAGCTTTGCAGTTTCAATTTATTGAAATCGAGGCCGTGCTTCTGAAATGTGGTTGCTATCAGTGCTACCTGGTTTATGCTGCAGTATGAAACAAACCCAAACTCAGACAGTCGATCGGACCCCTCCGGCACCTTCCATTTTGTGCTCCGGAGCCCTCCCATTTTGTGCTCCGGAGACCTCCCATTTGCGCTCCGGAGACCTCCCATTTTGTGCTCCGGAGACCTTCCATTTTGTGCTCCGGAGACCTCCCATTTGCGCTCCGGAGACCTCCCATTTTGTGCTCCGGAGACCTCCCATTTTGTGCTCCGGAGCCCTCCCATTTTGTGCTCCGGAGACCTCCCATTTGCGCTCCGGAGACCTTCCATTTTGTGCTCCGGAGACCTTCCATTTTGTGCTCCGGAGACCTCCCATTTGCGCTCCGGAGACCTCCCATTTGCGCTCCGGAGACCTCCCATTTTGTGCTCCGGAGCCCTCCCATTTTGTGCTCCGGAGACCTCCCATTTGCGCTCCGGAGACCTTCCATTTTGTGCTCCGGAGCCCTCCCATTTTGTGCTCCGGAGACCTCCCATTTTGTGCTCCGGAGACCTCGCATTTTGTGCTCCGGAGCCCTCCCATTCTCTGTCCCGGACCCCTCCGATTTTCTGCTCCTCGGCTCGTCCAAATCTGGCCGACTCGCGGCGGCCACATTTCTCCGCCGCGGCTCTGCCAAATCTGGCGTACCTCCGGAGCAGAAATGGCGTACCTTTGCAGCAGATCCGGAGAAGGGTCCCACTCGCATGCCGGTGAAATCACCGTGACCTACAAGAAGGGACCGCCCCCTCGCCCCGCTCTCATTGGTCAACTGGGATGGCACCGATTGTCTGAGAAAGCAAGAGAAGTTGTCTCAAAAAAAAAGAAACCATTACTTGAGTAGAAAAATTATCAGTATCGGCTGAACATCGCTATAGGAAAATCAAACTTCCAGCACCAATGCATTGTACTCATACCTACTTCGCAGCGTCTGCTGCGGCGGTCAGTGCGGCCAGTGCCGTTAGTGCGGTCAGTTTGTGCGAAAACCCTTTTTTAAATATAACATTATAAATTCAATTTCTTGGCACTCCTTTTGCTCAAATTAATGTTTGATTATATGAACTCACTTTAAAGCAGTGGCTCTGCGAAATGGACTCTGCCACATTTCGATGGTGTTAGGTATTAAACCCGCCAGTGCACCGTAACCAAAACTCCAACATGCAACAAGGGCTAAACCATGAAAACACGCTTCAAAAGCCCGCCATCAATATCAGTTTTCGGGAGTGGGCTTCTGAGGACTTAGTGCGTGGATACTATAATGGGGTTAGAGTACGGTAAATTTGTTTCAGAGTCCGTTTTGCCGCACCACTGCCCTTAAATTGTGTTCCTTATAAAAAACTCAAACTTACAAGACCACGAAACAATTTTCAAGCTCCTAAGAAAGTCGAGATCAAACAATTTCGTTTGAGTGATGAGGACGCTTCCATCGACTGCGTCGATTCTTTGCCATACATCGGGCTTTATCTTATTATAATCAGCTATTCCAACCATTCTTCTGCAGTCTTTATGGTTTTCTACAGCGCTTACAACGCAGTCTGAAATGAAAAAGGTGTTTGAAAAGACCGTGTTACGTTAAAGTTGGGCCAGACTGCGCGGCGCAAACTGCGCAGTTTTGCCCAGCACACTGAAATTGCCCGCCAAATTTAGGTTGGTGGCAAAGTTGCACAATTCGTATCAAATTCTTGATCTGTTTTTGATTATAGTATTATAGTTGTCTACTTATTCAGCGAATTGTATCACATTTACTAGTGTAAAGCGTTTACTAAATACGTCACCTGAAAGTGTGCCAGAAGACCTTACTTTTAGTGTGTATCCTAAGAGTGAAATTGTCATATACAGGGTGCCCCAAAAAATGTGAACACTACTTGTGTTAATAATTCGCTTGCTCCACTGTCTTTCGCCGATCTCTAGGTACCATTCTAGAGCGAGGCTCTACTTAGATTTTCGGTATGGAGCAAAAATCCGATCTTCCTTTGTTACCTGTAAGAATTTAAAGGGGTTTTTAAGCCATAAGAGTCGCATTTCGCCGCGAAAAGTGAACCAAACAAACCATAAACTTTTCAACTATGCTAATTAGAGTTGCTCATTACGGATATGCAATTTGCACACCACGGTCATGCTTCTTTCATAAGTTATTTCAGAAAAAGTGTAACAACTGCTCTTCTAGTGTTCTTTGAAAATGTGATTACAGCTCTGGAAAGGCTCAAAATTTTTGGAAAAGTGCATAATGAAACAGCATACTTAAAAACCATGTTACACAAATTCCCAGAATTCTTCGAAATTTTTCCAATCGAACGGCCTAATTCACAATGACGCTGTGTGCTCAAAGTTCACACTCTAATCCTACAGTAGCAAAAAAAGATCGGAATTTCCTTCATACTATAAATCTAAGTTGAACTTCGCTCTACAGAATGGTAGCTAAAGATCGGCGAAATTCATCGAAGCAAGCGAGTTTTCAACAATAAAACAGTATGCACATTTTTTGCGACTCCCTGTATAATCACTCAGATATTGCAAAGCCTACCTCGTGCATCTCCTATGTCAAGATTGAAACTTGCTCCTGTGATATGGTCAGATTTCAATTTTGGATTCACCCTTATAAACGCTTCCTGAACACTCAACTATTGCTTCAAACTATAGTAAAACTACTTACATGTGGGCCAAGGCGCAGCTTCTCGTTGAAGTGTATCTTCTCAAGATTTGGATTTTCTTGGATTATCAAGCGGCGTCTGTCTCCTGATTCAATTTTTTAAGAGAAATAATTGAAAGCAAACAATTTACTTTAAATCTTATACACAATGTATACACACGTGATAAAGGGTGACTAGAATTATTTCAAGGCTGCTGAAAGACAGCGAGTCGGAACTTACAGTTCACATAAGTTTTACACTGATGTTCTACATTATGTTCAATAGTTACAAACTTGGTTTCACGACTCCTCGTTTTCTCTTTGCTGGAACCCGAGTTATTAGACGGACAGTCGACTTTGAAAAAGAAGACGAGCTCCTTTATAAAATCTGCATAGTTCGTTCGACTAAAGGGATGAAATTTTAAAGTGGCAGTGGCAAATCCGTGTACAGTTGTTCACTTGCTACCCTCATGCCGGGCCCTGGTCCGAACATAACGCTACCTTGGAATAATTCGTTGCAACAAAGCCACACATAAGGCTGCTCTTAGCGTTGTAAGTAAAGACATAACGTTTGCTATCTATCCCAAGTACTAGCACTGTTGTTGGCGCTTGGTTCTCTTCTAGCATTTTCAACCTACAAATTGCTAAATGTGGACATATTTCCAGATGGTGTCGACAATTCAAACATTGCCGGGCCACCTCAAAATTAATGCCTCATCAGTTATGTATTATTTGCATTGACTGCAAGCAACTTTCGACTTTGAAGTCTGTTTCTGTTTTCTTTCGTGAAGGGTGTGTTTGTGTCAGCGAAGATGAGAAAATGTGCGGACTTGGCATGAGAGGACAGATGATCGAAGCTACGAAGAGGTGTCAAAAAGAGTAAAATACAAGCGATAGCCAAGAGTTGTTTGGTACGTGTGATTGTGCCTTATTGCTTGAGGCGATGTATGGTTTTTTTTTTTGATCGCAATGTCCAAGCTAAACAAGAGTCAAGACAGTGAGAAGAATAACACTCACATGTATGAAAATGATGAGGATGTCTGCTTGAAAATACCATAAAGTGTTATGAAAAGGGATAGAATAACAACGTCAAGAAAACCTCACTTATTTACAGGGTGTCTCAAAATGTGCACATTGTTCGATTGTTAACTCGCTTGCTTTGTCATTCGCCGATAAGTACCATTTCAGAGTTTGCTTTGAAGACTTACAGTTTGTAGCGAATCGCCAGTCCCTCTTTGCTACTGTAAGAATATGGTATGGCCTTTCCGCATACGGCGCCAATGTGAAATAGGGCGCTTGATAAAAAAAAACTTCAAAGGAACTAGAGAATCGTGTATCAATGTTCAAGCATGCTGATTTCATTGCAGAGCTTTTTGCAAGTTTTCTAAGCGTTCTTAGTGATGTAGTCACATTTACTCCTGAAAGAGCACTTGTCAAGGTTTTTCGGATGTCTCTATATATATGCATATAAAGCAGAAAATTTGTATGTTTGTGCACATTCCCCATGGTCATAAAGAAGAGCGGTGAATAGAAAGCGAACTCAAGACGAGTTTGAATTAAAAGAAGGATTTCGCCACCTGAGAGGCCAAGGCACGATGGACTAACTCCATGACGGGGTAGAAACCGGATGCCAGCTTGCGACTTATAAAGCAAAATGACTGCGATCATTCCGTGTTCGGTACAAGTGACTCCGATTAGCCTATCATGAAAGTTTTTGACTTGTTCGGTTTCCTGAGGCACGATTTGACCCTTGACTACTTGAATCCTCTTTGAAGTTCGTACTATAATCCTACAGTGACGAAGAGGGATCGGTAAAGCAAGTTCTATTGAAGGTGGATGAACACTGACAAAAGAAGGCGAAGTACAAGAGTTTAGCGACCAAACAATGTGCACATTTTCGGGACATTTCATATTAAGTCATCTTCTTAAGAGTATGAATCTTTAGTGTAGTCTCTGCAAAACCATATTAGGGTAACGTTCTTGTAAAGCTCCTTGCAATGATTTTTCAATTGCAGATAGCATCATTCCAAAAAACTCTATAATCGACTGGTCCGTCACAGCCCTGCGCCAATTACGCCACAGTGCTCACGAGCACTCATTCAAAGCGGTATAGTACGGTCATGGACCCAAGCGCTGACTTGATAATCGGGTAATTGGCTGATCCCCGCAAGTCATTGTCAAAGGCCTCTATGCATTCATTAGCCTCTTCGACTCGAAATAGAATGCGTTTGGGGCATGCTCGCAGAGGGTATTGAAGACGTCGAGTCTTTTATCCTCTAAGCAGGGTCCGTAGTCGCACGATCTTTGACGCAAACTCCAAAAAAGCTTGACTTTACCTTTTGTCATGGAGTTAGATCCACCGAAAATACCACTTATCTTCACGACGTTTTTAAGAAAATTTAGCGTCTTCAGTGCTTCGTTGTTTGTAACAAACACGCAACCTTCAATCTTCTCTAACTGCTCCAGTTTTGCTATGCTATCAGGAATTTCTAAAATAACACTGTAGGTGCGTAGAGTACCGAGAGAGTTCCTAAAGCAGTGTGCTATCATTTGAGCCCTGTTTAGTATAGAGATTCCTTGAGGTTACGCTGTAAACAATTTTTGCTCAAACCAGACAACGAACATATTGCTTTTATTCTTGACTGTCAACTCGAATTTTAATTGTTTTTTAGCTCTGTCAAAATATTTTCCAAGACAAACAAAATTGAAAATCTCCTCTTACCATTTAATCCGTCGATGATCAGATTGCCTGTTATAGAATTACAGTGTTTCCCAAGCCCTGCTAGATAGCCTTTAGTCACTTTTCCACCAGGACATGATTTCACTAAGGTATGTAGGTTTTTGGTTGGATGTCGACGATAAAATCTTATTACTTACGGCATTCTTCACTGAATTCGATGGAACTTCCTCTTTCCTTCAACCATTCTTTGATCTTGCGTCTTTCCACTACATTATGGCATATACTTGGATTGTCTGTAATTTCAATAGCAGGACTTTCAGATTCCAGTTCTAATGTTAGTAATGCACTGATATCGACAAGTTTCTTGTTATGTGAAACTGTGATTGCAGGAGCTAAACGATTTCTCTTAAAACACTCGGTAATTGATTAGTACAAAACTTACTCTTCCATCCTACAATTCTGAGACCATTCAGTGTATTCAGATAGTTAAGATGGAGGACATCCTTATTTTCAATACGAATTGTACCGACAACCTCCTCAACATATTCAAAACCTTCGGAAGTCAAATGTTCTAGCCTGACATCGCCGATAACACTTTTGCATCCACCAGCAGTAGACAGTGTAGCAACTGTACAGTCTGAAAAACCCTACAAGTTACTGAACCGAATTTCCATCGAAACGCTACGGACTGCTTCGTTAGACAGTCTCCCACGCAACGCTATTGACCTCGTAACCACCATTTCCTCAATACGTCCGTCAGTTATTAGCCGTGCATATATAGGCTGCTGCATGACGAAGGCGCAATACCTTCGTGCGCGAACGCGGCTTTATTAGCCGCAGAGCGCATGAGGTGCGGGATCTACAACGGTGAGGATACGCGCGCGTCGCGTTCTCGCACGCTCACCCAATATCGCCATTGCGCCTTCGTCATGCAACAGCCTTTACCTCTAGTGGATGCATTGCGAGCTACTAGTCGAGTGACCATATTTCTGCACAAATGCGCATTGGTATGGGTGTTTGGTACGTAGGGTCCCGAAGCAAAAGCAAGTTTGCGTTTTAGCGAAAGCCGCGTAAGCTTACGCAGCGTTAGTGGCAGTGTGACCTAATCCTTCTTCTGTACGGGTAAGAGGACTTTTCCCGACAACAGCAGATTTGCGAGGCCGTGCTCTTTTCTTCCACAGAGCGACCACCGACAATGAAATTGTAAATGGGGATCGCCAGTGGTCCTCATCTGCAGCCAAACCGTGGGTGGTCCCGCACCTTGAAGGCAATGTCCGGGCAAAAACTCGATTTTGAGATTTTCTGCTTACCTGGGCCTATTCGCCATGTTAACTTCGAAAATCCACATTGGAAAGCTCGAAAACGGCAAAAAAGGGCTCTAACGCAGGAGGGAAATCAGAAGTGGGCGGGATCTTCCCCACTGTAAATTTTGCGGTCCCGTCTTCTAAAGCGATTTTCTCAATCCTGTTACCGATCTGAGATCTCCACAGGCCAGGCGCAAATGCATGACTTGAAATCGGGACCGAGAAGATCGCTCCGGAAGCTTGGAGCGTGAATCCGCAGTGGGGAAGACCCCCCCCACACACTTGTGATTTTCCTCCTGCGTTAGAGCCCTTTTTCGCCGTTTTCGCGCCTTCTAATGTGCATTTTCGGATTCAGCATAGTGAGTAGGCCCGGATAAGCACAAAATTTCAAAATTTGCCCGGATAATGCCTTTAAAGGCAGTGTCCCGGCAGATTCGCGCCCTGGGGGATATAGCTATGGTGAAATTCCTGGTCATCCAACTGACTCCAAGCGCAATCCGGCTGGTTGATGTTCCCCGCTGGGCCGACAAAATAGCCCTTGAACCGGCGCGCGCAACCCCAATCGGCGCGCGCTCGGACGACTTCGTTTACCGTTCGGCGCGGGACCCCACGACCGCTCTCCCGCATTGTGCATGCTATCCAAAGCGAAAATTACAGGCAGCAGGGTCTTCGCGCCAGGGCCTCCCAACTTTCCATTGAAATTTTCGTCCGAGCTGCCTTTTGGATATTGGGTAAACACCTCGAAGAACCCGTTTCGACGCTCAAATTCGGGGTCTACGGGCCGTAAAGGCCCAAAACATGCAAAAAGATGGGAATGCAAAATCTGCCGGGACACTGCCTTTAACTATGCATTTGGCCGAAGACGTATTTGTCGAACTCCTTCACAGTCTGGGAGGCCTTACGAGAGTATATACTTGGATGTATTAGGTTGTCCGGAAATTAATGCCCGTTTTCAATTTCAACCGCAATAAGTCATACACTTCTCATCTCTAAATAGGTTGCAAACCATTCGATAGAGCAAAGCAAGCTCTACAAGATGGCTCTCTTGCTTTTGCAACAGCTCTTATCCACCCCGAGTTCTAACAAGGAAAGTCACTTAACTTAGGTCGGCCTTTTGAAATGAGACACATATATTTAGAATCAGCTCGGAACCCTGATTCTAAATATGCTGTCCTTAGCTGCGAAGCGTTCCTCCGAAGCGAGTTATGAGCTTTTTCCTAGGCAAAGTTTGCGTGCTGACCGACTTAGGCATGCTACGGTATCGTCATCCAGGTAGTAGTTTGAATGCATACAACACCCTATCAAAATCAAATGACTCAGTTTGATGTTATTTTGATTTCCCACCACTTTTTTAGGCAGATTTTTATCTAAAGGCCTTCTTTCCGTATTCAGTTATATGTCAATTACATACTAAAAAGCTCATAACTCGCTTCAGAGGAACGCTTCGCAGCTAAGCATATTTGGAATCAGCGTTCCGAGCTAATTCTAAATATATGTGTCTCATTTCAAAAAAGGCCGACCTGACTTAAGTGACTTCCCCTGTAAGGCAAAAAGTAAAAAGACTCAGCTGCCCGAAAAATCGAGAAAAGTCGTAACCCAGTCCATAAAAATCCTACAAAAATTCTTACCTGTTCACATTAACACTATCCACATAAAGCATCTGTATATGCCTTTGCCGTATTTTTCCCTCCATTAGAAACCAAGAAAACGGAATTTTTCGTGCATCTGCCAAAGTGATGCTGTGCCGTCCCCACATAGGTAGTTGTATACCACAAGCCCGTAGAAGTACAGACTTAAATTTTCAGCTCTCTAAAAGCTTTAGTTCTCAAGAAATTTGAATTTTAGCTTGGACCACCTAACTAGGGAAAGCTGTATTTCGTATTTCTCGAGAACTAAAGCTTGTAGAGAATTGAAAACTTACGTTTGTACTTCTACAGGTTTGTAGTATACAACTACCTATGTGGGGACGGCACAGCATCACTTTGGCAAGTTCACGAAAATTTCCGTTTTCTTGATTTTCAACAGAGGAAGAATTACGGCAAAGGCGTATACAGATGTTTTATGGATACTGTTTACGTGGGCAGGTAAGAAATTTTATAGGATTTTTATGGACTGAGTTACGATTTTTCTTGATTTTTCGGGCAGCTGAGTCTTTTTACTTTTTACCTTAAGAGGTGGATATGAGCTGTTGCAAAAGCAAGAGAGCCATCTTGTAGAGCTTGCTTTGCTCTATCGAATGGTACTTTGCAACCTATTTAGAAATGAGAAGTATATGACTTATCGCAGTTAATCAAAACGGGCATTAATTTCCGGACAACCTAATACATTTGTACATTCCAGTTTCGCTCCCTTTGTCACCCCCACGCCACTCTGAAGCGGCGGCCATAGGTGGGGGTATCTATAATCAGCTTGTTGAATAATCCCATGCTGAAATTGTGAAGTCTTTAAGTCTAGTGACTTGGAGGGATGGTAAGCTTTGTTGATAGGAGCAAGCGATCATCCAGGAAGGTAACTCATTTTACCTATGTCGCACACAGTACACGTCACTTTTACCGATAAAGTCTAGTAGTCCGCTTCACATAGCATGTTTGCGGTGCCGAGGTTTTCGGTAATATTTGCGCATCAAATAACCAGGCCAATACTGCCGGCGCACAATTGGCCTGTATTACAGGCGTTCACCGCAAATCTTACCGCAAGCACACTACATCAAGCAGGAAAAACTTTGCACTTTCTCCCTTTGTAATTTCAAGCAAGTGAAATTGCTAAAACGGTGTAAACCATATACTGCTTAGGTCCGAAATATGGTAATTCCCATTAGCTTCACAACCTGGCAAGCTTATATTTGACTTGCCCAACTGGGATCAGGTGGAACGTTGGAATAAAACTGGCTTGCTATGTCAGAGGTTTGCGCTGCCTGTGCGCGCTGTAGGAAAGAGCGAAAACATCAGAAAGAGATGGCAAGCAAGCCGTAGACATGACGCAAGATAGTGGCGATGTTGATGCGCATCAACATCGCCACTATCTTGCAACAACCTGTACTCCAATCTTGAATTGATCCGGATTGGGACAGACTCCAAGGGACTGAAGCTTGTATAAAGTTTATGCAAAAGTAAAAATGGTGAATTTGCCCTTGGTTCCATTTTCTGCACTATAATCTTTAGCGTATTTGTAGTTAACCTTATTTTCAAGCAACAACCTGTACTATCGCCATAATAGACGTCTATTCCATTCAAAACAGTCATTTTCGGATTTGCTCTTATGAGCACGCTCTAAAAATTATTCTCTGTTGCGTCTAACATTACTTGCTACGAGACTCACCGATTCGTCAAATTTTAGGTTACTTGCAAACGTTATTTCTTCCAATGTTGGATTGCCAAATATGAGCAAAGCAAATGTGTACTCTGATAAATTATCCAGAGTCTCGCATCAGTAAAGTAGTCAAATCACTGTAGACCCACCGCAAAAATTCTGGTCCGGCTCGATGCTGACAAGCTCTTTGAGAGAAGCATGAGTAATACGAGTGTTGTAAATTATGAGACATCCAACGATGGATTGTATTTGCTAAAATCATTTGGCTGCTTCTCCTGGTTCAGCTTAATACCTTTCTAGCAGTGGCGGTTCCAACCGTTATGGGGGAGGGGGGGGGCACGAAAGTTTTTTGGGGCGCTTCCAAAGTTTTTTGCGAGCCCATTACCCCGTGGCGGCAGTCCCCTCCCCCCCCCCCCAAAAAAATCAGAGCTAAATTAATTTTCTAGAGAGTTTCAAAAGTTATTCAACCATGCCGAAGTATAAAGAAATCATTTGCACATTTTTAAGACTCATTTGAGTAAGTTTCAGAAATGGGCTCCCGGTCCACTCCTCGGTTCGCAACTGCTTTCTAGTGTTGGCTGTCCGAGAACTATTAGGTTGTTACATAAGTCTTGTTACACTTTAATTTCTTAAGACGATAAGTTGTGATCTTCATAACTTTAATAGGGCTGCAGGGTACCATTCGATAGAGCAAAGCAAGCTCTACAAGATAGTTTGCAAAAGTTCGCACCAAATTCGATCCACTTTAACTTTTCATCCAAAATCTGAGTCGTAGTGAAGGCTCAAAAATTGCAAGAAATTCAGATCTTTGTTAGAAAAATCCTGCGAATCTCCAACTTGCTCATAAAAATTGTCTACTATATCAGACACTCATAAGTACCGTTTCTATATTTTTTCCTCATCTAAAAATCGAGAGAAGGAAATATTTTAGTTTTTACAAAAACGAAGCTATGTTGTTTCTATTCGTGTAGGTACACTACAAGCTCTTAGAAGTATAACTGTGAATTTTCAGCTTTCCAAAAGCACTGGCTTTCGAAAAAATACCAAATTTAGTTTCTTTTACTCGGGTGTTCAATGCTAAATTAGGTAATTTTCGAAAACAAGAGCTTCTGGAAAGCTGATAATTTACGGTTACACTTGCAACGGCTCGTAGTCTACAGCTACATCAATAGAAACAGCATAGCTTCGTTTTTGTAAAACTAAAAAAAATTCCTGTTCTCGACTGAGGAAAAAATACAGAAACTGTATTTATGAGTGTCTGATATATAGGCAATTTTTATGAGCAAGTTGGAGATTCGTAGGATTTTTCTGAACAAAGATGTGAGTTTTTGCAATTTTTGAACCTTCGCAACGACTCAGATTTTGGATGCAAAGTTACAGTGGGTCGAAGTTGGTGCAAACTTTTGCGTACTATCTTGTAGAGCTTGCTTTGCTCTACCGAATGGTATCCCGTAGCCCTGTAAAGAATATGAGGTGCATGACTTATCGTTGTCAGAAGTTAAGTGTAACAAGACTTATGTAACAACCTGATATTTTCGGTTAAAGGGTTGCAGTCCGCAGGTGTTTGGGAATTCGTAAGAGAGTAACCTAATTTTTTAGGCTCAAAATTATTTTAATTATTTACAAGCAAAAGCAAGTTACGTGCAACCTTTTGTTACTGTTGGCACTTCCCCTACCCCCTCTCTTCCCACTCTGCCAGTGCTCTTTATAAATATAGAATTCTCAAATCTTACAATCTATGGAACACTCTCCAAAGTGCGCTAGAAAGTAAATTCAATCCTGCTCCTTTGCAAAATTCCTCAACCTTTTCAAAAGCTGACAAAGGTTAAGGTTCTCCACGTTTTTGAGAACTTCAGGCGATGAGTAGGCAAATGTACGCACTGCCACTTCCTTTAGCTCGTTCATTCAAACAGATTTGTTAAACAGCTTCCCTTTTCTGGCTTTCACTGCTTTCTGTACTGTATTTCAATAAATTACTTACGCAAGCAATAATGGAGTACCGATTGGAAAGCGACATCACATATTTTGCTGAAATACACATGTTTTCTGCCATGATTACCTGAAGTTCCAGTTCGGTCGTCTCAGGATCAGACTCTAATCTACCGTAAAAATGGAAGCATATGTCTCCGTCCGTGTTATATTTCTCCTTATATAAAGACAACGTTCCTTGGAAATAACAAGCTGGAAGTCATATACTGTTGCCACCGTTTATAAACGAATAAACTTACATAATGTTTCCTTATCGTAGGGTTTATTTTCGCTCACTGGTGGTACACCTCCATATGTTAGTGGGGAAACTATTGCAACATACAAGAAAAAAGCATGAAACATTATATCTAGAAGCAACCTGAATGTAGCAGTTGTGTGATAGCACTTGTAGTCGTCACTAGTCTTTTTCTCAGCGGATTTTCTTGCTGATGTCGATTCACTTACAACATATTCTGACGAGGAAAGGAAGGTTGGTCGAAGTGGCCTCTGATATGAAATGCGCACTGTTTTGTAGAGTTTGGGACGCCGATTCCAAATCTACCTTTGCTATCTGCTACGGGCTTCTGGGCGATGAGTTATGAAGGTTTTCATGGGTAAAAATCTGAATGCAAGAGTAGGCTAAAATCTGACGTAACATTTTTTTATAGGGCTAAATCGGTAGTCGGGTCACTTGGTGCAACAAATAATCTTGATTTGAATATACCAATCGCTGCTGCCTCATTTGAACGCTGGGAAAAGGTTACAACTGATTTTACCCTACTCTTGCATTCAAATTTTTACTCACAAAAACCTCCATAACTCCTCGCCCAGAAGACCGCAGCAGATAGCAAAGGTAGATTTGGAATCAGCGTTCCAAGCTCTACAAAACACTGTATCTCATCTCAAAAGGCCACTTCGACCAACCTTCCTTCCCTTGTAAGAAAGGAAAAGATTTGAGAATTTTTGCGGTCACCTTATAAATAGTTCTCGACAACTACAAAAAGACAATTGCAATCTGGTAGTCAACTCAAAAAACACAGCAAAAAATATGCTTCCTATATTCCTAACCATCGACAAGCATGACGCGATCAATGTGTTGGGGTGATGAGGGAGTGCAATGCTGTTCTCAAAATTACAAATTTCCTCTGACTGAAAAATCACGATTAATAAGAATACGAAGTGTCGTGGTCCAGAGGAGAAGTAAACCAGCGTCCGAAGGTGCACTTTTGTTCGAGTACCTTGAGCCTTTTTGGTGATTCATGCAAAATTTTTTGGACCCAGAAAAACTCGAACTCCTTTTTTACGCCATTTGAACTTCTCTGCGCTACAGCTTTGGGCTTAATCTGTTAAGTCAGGGTGATCAAGTATAAGCCTGGTAAAACCTAATTGCCCACGTCGCTCCTTGAAACCAGCATAAGCGAGCGGTCGTCGCGAGGCTATATTCGGGCTTCGTTCACTTATGAATTTTTTGGCCAACATTCGTTTTCAGCATTGCATATTCTGTTCCAGCAAAAGCGTCTTTGAATTCATAAAAATACATCTGAATGAAGTGCGCGCTCATTATCGCCTGCGAATAGCCTATACGCCGGGACCCCACGTCTTCCAGCCGCTCCGACCCCTGTTATTCTAAGCCGCCGCGGGCAACAAGATTTTACAAGGCCTACAAATTGTAACGAACTCTTCTTTATCGCCTTTTCATCCTAGCCTCATTATTTATCATCCGTTTCATCCAACTTTTCCTTGTTTTTACTATGTGGTCGAAAGTCACATTTGCGCTTAGCACATGGTTGTTTTTTAGACACCGTTCTTTACTTGAAAAAAAAAGTTTTTTTGGCAATATAGAAAAGGACCTTCTGAAGCTTGGAGTAAATCATTGTGCAAAAAGGAGTTTACACATCATTAAAAGGGTTTTATCTGAAAGTATTCGAATCAGTTCATGACCCGTTCTCTGACACACCACATATTGTTGACGGCTTACATAGCGCAGCAGAGCTTCCATCTGAGATGCGGCGAGCGCACTCGGACGGAAAGCGCTCTTAACTCCTTGCACAGAAATGCCCAACATGAACAAGGAAAGACAATACGTTCGTGGTTCGTAAAAACTGACGGCGGCTGCAGCCAGAGTACGCCGAATTTTGAGTCGCATCGTATATCTTGCTTCAGAGAGGACGATTTCATATTCAATTCATATATCACATAAGTGCACCGTCCGACTCAATTTGACGAACGCATGCATTGCTCTCCATATCATTAGAAGTGAAGTGTGCCGAGTGGGCTCGGACCTCCGCGACCGCCTCCCGTAGGCTCTGCACCTCATCTGATCATCTCACCTCACCTCATCTCTTTGATCATTTTCACTTTCCCACCACAAGAAGGCGAGGCTTTGAGCTAATCAAGCGTGCTAAAGCCCCACCCAGCACCCGTTACCCCATGATATAGAGGGTAGGCGTGCCTGTTTGGATACGGTAAGCAGAGTTTAGGCAGCTAAATTTTGCGAATTCTCTCAGATTGTTGCTTGCGGTAGGTTCCTCAGGTGCGTCACTGCAACTAAACAATCGATCTTATACAAATACTCAGTTTTATTCGTGAGCTTTGACTGCCTCACTCATACAGTATCCGAGTACATCCTACAGATCTCGAAGTGCGTCTCGTAGAGCTGAAGTTGAATGTCGCCCTTGGTTTCACAATTTATCCACTCTAAACAAAGATATGGCGACGCGACACGATTCAGCAACTCAGGCAGTGCCGCAGTCATCTTTCATCTACAAGTATTGTAGATTTAGAGAGTCGAAGCGAGTAAAAAGGTATCTCTTAGGAGGCAAAGATGTATATATTTTGCTCGTTAGCTTTACAAAAAAAAGTGTCCTCCTACTTTTGCATAATGTTCGTAAACTGACCGACAAGTTAATACCGCTTTGCACAATGCGCACTGGAAATTTCGTCAGTTCCGTTCAGTCCATTTACACAATGTCTCACTGACAAGCTCTTCTTCGCTCAGAGTTATAACTTATAATAACGGGCTAAGGGTGTTTACGTGATTTTGTGTGTGTGTGTGTGTGTGTGTGTGTGTGTGTGTGTGTGTGTGTGTGTGTGTGTGTGTGTGTGTGTGTGTGTGTGTGTGTGTGTGTGTGTGTGTGTGTGTGTGTGTGTGTGTGTGTGTGTGTGTGTGTGTGTGTGTGTGTGTGTGTGTGTGTGTGTGTGTGTGTGTGTGTGTGTGTGTGTGTGTGTGTGTGTGTGTGTGTGTGTGTGTGTGTGTGTGTGTGTGTGTGTGTGTGTGTGTGTGTGTGTGTGTGTGTGTGTGTGTGTGTGTGTGTGTGTGTGTGTGTGTGTGTGTGTCCGTCTGTCCGTCTGTCTGTAACGAAATCATAGAGCGAGTTCCAGCCAATGTCCTGAGCCCAAATTTTGCACAGCGCATGCTACCAGCGTAGAACTCCACCGTACAAAATCACGAGCAGATTTGTTGGGTGGATCCTTCAGAATTTGCGAGTCAAACGGATACACTTGGCTTCTGGCCCGCAAAATTGGGTCTGTATCAACGCTTTTTGCAAAGTCGTGGATGAGTTTGGCATGCTGATGTGCAAGACATGGACTTTGGGCGAAAAAGTGACCAAAGGTCTACTACTATACCAGAACGACGCCAAAAAGAAATGGTTACGCAAATGGTCAATCCGCCTGGCTTTACCTGACCATTTGAGGGGATTTTTGCATAGAAATGTAGCTCACGGTAATTGTTGTCCTTATGCGACTACCAAGCCAAAAGAAGTTCAAAAACCTAATCGAATTTGCATTTGTTCTTCTGCGAAAAGTTCCATCCATGCGAAATTACCGATCTGGCATGAAAAACCCTTTGAAATGAGTAGTTGTTTACATTTCATTCGTGGTAGTCGTCATTGCACGGTGAGTTTCAAAGATATCATTAGGCGAGAACAAGTAAAGCATATAAAGTAAGAGCAGTGCGAGTCTCTGCGAAGCAGAGGTGACGCACTGGTAAAGGATAAAGGATGAAGTATTCGGCGTCTTCAATACCCTTTGCGGGCATGCGCCGAACGCAAACTACTTATAGTCGAAGTGGTAATTGTATGCGTGCGAGCCTACTACATGATTTGCGGGAGCCAGCCGATTACCAAATCAGTGCTTTTAACCTCAAAGAATTACTCTGGTACCGCAGAGGGCTTGGGTGGCCCAGGGGCGGGATCGAACCTGCGTGCGATCTGGTCATAGCGGCGCTTCAAACCACGACGCCCTCGCCCCTTTCGCTCAGAATGCAAAGTAAAAATCTCATAAAGGCAATTTCCTTTGAGATGTAAGTCACCTACTGCACGAACTTGAGAGGACTCTGGGAGAGCGTGCTTTGGCGTTTTGGCTAGCTCAGTATGAGAGGAGAGGAAGCTCTTATCTGGTAATAGACGTAGAGGTTATCGAGTTCATCCAGCACACTAAGTCATCGTACCGTCGTACTACATAGCCACAGCAATCGCGGGAGCTGAATTTTGTGGACCAGCGCTGGACAATTTTTTCATTCGTTCCTCCACCACCTCTCATCATGAGGGCTTGGTAGCGGTTTTTGTGAAGACATAGGTGAACTTACTACAATCAGGGTGAGTAGGACAAACCGCAATTGTGTGATGAAAGATTAAAATGAGTTCTACCACTCTTGTTTGCACGAAATTGTAAAACAGATCAGTAATCGATAAGGAATCACTTCTGTAAATTAACCTCGAGGCATTTGCAACTCAGTGTGGGAGATTGTACACTAAGCCCCATTAGCGACGGCACCCATACTAGTAACTCCCCATCGAAACATTTTCCAGCCTAACAAAATGTAGAAATGTGTTCTACTGACTAACATATAACCAACTAAAACAAAAGAAACGAGTACCCTATTTTCCGATTTATAAGCCGCACTTTACAGAAACCGCACTTGCAGCAGCGAACATTGGCGCGAAAGAGCCTTTGAAAAGTATGTTTTTAATCTACCAAACTGAAGACTAGCTGCATTTTGTGGCTGCTTTTCATGCGCATGTTCACCTCTTCAGGGATCTCTCTATTTCTTCCAGAAATCGGACGATGTTGTGGGCATAGTTGCGATAGGGGGAGTGATGGATCTTACCCCCTTCACTTTGAGGCCAAACTCCCGATGACCCCCTTCACTTGGGCTGAGATTGGTATTGTACTCTGAGAATATGATAAAAATTGTTATGAAAAGCAGGCTGGGTACCTCAAACAACAAGGTACACTCATAAATTTACTAAAGAAACGGTATTTATGTTTATTTATATTATTTATTTATCCTCGTAGCATTTTGGAGAGCAGAAAGTGAGTACACAAAATCAGTTAATTTTCGAAGCACATGAAATCCCTCATATCTCGGAAGACCTAGAAAAAAGTCGACGGTCTACGTCGATTCTCCATGATCTCAGCTTTCGAATGGTATACAGCATGTTAGGGCTTCTTTGCTTCCCGGCTCTAAAAATCATTTGCTCCGGTAACCGATAAAAGCCAATACATTGGTGGAGCTGGGTTGGAGCAAGCTAATAGTAGATATCTCCACCCCATTTTTGAAAACTGTTTAGTTTTTTCGCCCAGCAACCTGTATACCATTCGAAAGCTCAGGAAAAGGGGATTCGACCTAGACCGTCGACTTCTTCCTAACCTCCCTCTACCGAGAGATACACCGCATTTTATCTGAAAACATGGTCATTTTCAACAACAGATTTTTGCCAAATGAAGACCTAGTCACTGCTGATTATCTATCTGTGTTAAAGAGCAAGTCTTCATTAACAAACGTAGACCGTCGACTTTCTCGTAGCATTCATTTGGAGAGCAGAAAGTGAGGACACAAAACCAGTTAATTTTTGAAGCACATGAAATCCCTCATATCTCGCGGCACAGAAGACCTAGAAAAAAGTCGACGGTCAACGTCGATTCTCCACGATCTCAGCTTTCGAATGGTGTACAGCATGTTAGGGCTTCTTTGCTTCCCGGCTCTAAAAATCATTTGCTTCGGTGACCCATAAGAGCCAACACATTGTATAGGTCGTCCCGAATGTTTTTGCGCACGATTTTCAAAAACTCATAACTTCTAATTTTTCTAACCGATTTGACTGCTATCACTTTTATGTGAAAGGGTAAGTCATGCTCTTTTAATGACATCCCAGCTGCTTAGTAATGGTCATCTGTTGCATAGATAGAAGCTCAAAACAAAATCACTCAAAATTTTAATTTTCTGTGTAGGGTCATAAAAAACGGAAACTTGCATCAAAAATCGGAACAGTCCGAATTGATTGAGGGTCTCTATGAAAAGTTATGATTTTCGAGCAAGCAATACAAAACGGCGAATTTGGTTTATTTTGGCATTTTTCAGGGAAATCATAACTTTCCATAGAAACGCTCAATTGGCGCAAACTTTGCACTGTTGAAGAGAGCTGGTGAAAGAACTTACAATACTGACTGCTCCGATTTTTGTTGCAAGTCTCCGATTTTTTATGACCCTACACAGAAAATTAAAATTTTTTACCATTTTTCTTCTATCGCTCCTATCTATGCAACAGATGACCATTACTAAGCAGCTGAGATGTCATTATAAAGAGCAAGTCTTACCCTTTCACATAAAAATGAAAGCAGTCAAATCGGTTGGAAAAATCAGAAGTTATGAATTTTGAAATTCATGATCGAAAACTTTCTGGACGACCTAATAAGAGCGAGGTGGAGCAAGTTAATAGTAAAAAATGTGCTGTGGATTGACATCGTTATCAGCACTAATGGGAACGAGAGCGAACGCGTCTATTTGAGCGCGCTTATCGTTGTTATATGTTTATGTTTTTTTTGGTAAAAAATGCGCTTTTGATTGACAGTTATGCCATCATTATTAGCACACACTCAAAAAACTATGGGAGATTGGTGAATTTCCACACCTTCACACAAAAACCCGCCCATTTCTGGAATCCATACTCTGTAAACCTAGTGCTGAAGAAGGTCACTTTCGTGAAAACGCTCTAGACTTACCTTACCTAATTTGTAGAGAATGGTTGGTTTCAATGAATCAAAAACTCTAAGACATTCAGAAGAATAACATGTTATTAAAATATCCCTCAATGTTTTGGAAAGGTTGGCAGTTTGAAGAGTATTGTAGAGCCGTCCCTTATATTGGAACTTGCTCACTATTGATAGCTAATGCTGAGGCGGCCTATGTGGCTGCGGCGTACCCGCCGCACCTTGCTGTATTTACGTGTTGTTATTGCATTGATCCTAGTGAACCCGCGGCATATACGCCTATGTGTATAAGGAGAATCTTTGTGTTTTTCTAATAAATTGTCAACGGCTCAACGCGTTCCACAACAACTGGCGATCAGGATCAAGGACAAGAAGACCTCCACCGACCAAGGACCAGAAGAAGCTCCACCGACCGAGGACCAGCAGCCCGACCAAGGACCAGCAGCCTTCCAATCAAGGACAAGAAGAAGCGCTACAGCTCAGCCAAGCCGGGAGGAAGCTGTTACCGGTCGAGGACAGCCAGACAAGTAAGCGCTGCTAGGAATTCGATTTAGCAGAAGAACTCGTCGACTCCGAAGAGTTCTACCATGCCGAAAGCCAGTGAAGAGCGGCATGGCCATGACTCTTTGGAGAAGGTCCTATCGGTCATGGTCGATCAAATGCGAATTCAGCAGGAACAAATGCAAATGCAGGCGCAAGCTCTACAGGAGCAAATGCAAGTACATTTGCAACTTCAACAGGAGCAGCAGACGCAATTGCAAGCTCAGCAGGAGCAGATGAAGGAGCTGATCATCACCTTAGCCAGTAAGCAGGGAGCCGTCCAGGATGCCAGCAAAGATCAATACGATCAGCTGAGCAAGGAAGTGCAACGATTTGTCTCGGACGAGGAGACAGGTAACACGTTTGCATACTGGTACGGCAGGTATGGACCTATCATTCGCGACGCCCAGCTGCCGGATCACAAGAAGCGCGACTTAATCCTCATGAAGCTGGACGAAGAAGCCTACCGGAAGTATGCGGATGAGGTCTTACCTGCGCAACCGCACGACTTGGACTTCGACACCACCATCGCGAATCTTCAGAAGCTATTCGCCTCTAAGAAGACCCTGATTAGGAGGAGGTACGAGTGCCTGAGGATAACCTGTCCACCGCTTACACCAACGTGCGTACCATTTCGCGAGTACGCTAACACCATCAAGCGGATGGACGAAGACGCTCGACTCAAGGAGCTGGATTACACGGCGATGAAGACGCTGCAATTTGTAGCAGGTCTTCAAGATCCCTCACTCAGGGAAGTTCGTCTTCGAATGATTCGTCGACTGGACGCTTACAAGGACGAAGCACCATTAACAATCGAAGACCTAGTCACGGATTGTGAAAATTTCACTGCTTTGAAAGTGGATAACACGGACATGGAAGGCACTCGCGACGTCCATGCTGTATGGAAGAAAAAGGTAAATTGCTTCATATGCGGAGGACCACACCTCAGAAGAGACTGTCCACAATCTGACAATAGTCGGAAGAAGCGGAGGAAGACGGGAGCCCATGTGAGCCGCAGGCGACAGTGCAAAAATGTGGTCGTTTTCGACGCTGAGAAGGCGCGGACTTATATCGACGTCGTAATCAGAGGGTATTCCCTCAAGCTACAGCTGGACACAGGTGCGGATATAACCCCGATTTCGCGAAGAGCCTGGAAGAGGATGGGATCCCCTGCTCTGGAACCCTGTGTGTTGCCCGTGAAAACTGCCGACGGGACGCCGATGCAGATCGAGGGTAAATTTTCGACCGATTTTGAGGTCAAAGATCGAGTTACAGGGAAAACCGTTCATGGAAACGGAATTTGCTATGTCACCGAAGGCTCGAATCTATTGGGATTGGAATGGTGTATCCAATTGCCGGCGTACAAGAAGCTGAAGGACAACTACAACTGCAGAAAGGTGACCAGCGAGGAGAAATTTCGAGCCGAAGTCGTCGCCGATTTGAAGAGGAAATATGCGGAAGTCTTCAATAGCGACTTGGGAAAGTGCACGAAGAGCAAGGCCAAGTTAATCTTGAAGAGCGATGCTGTGCCAGTCTTCAAGATGAAGAGGTCAGTTCCGTACGCCACGGCACCGCGCCAATAGTCGCCGTCAAGAAGAAAAATGGCAGGATCCGTCTATGCGCCGACTTCTCGACAGGACTCAACGATGCATTGCAGCTGCATCAGCATCCATTGCCCACAGCGGAGGATGTGTTCACCAAGCTCAATGGAGGCCAGCTCTTCACTCAACTCGACCTAGCCGAAGCGTATTTACAAGTGGAAGTCGAGGAAACGTCAAAGGAGATGCTGACTATCAACACACATAAGGGATTATATCGCTATAATTGTTTGCCATTCGGAGTGAAATCGGCACCCGGTATATTCCAGCAGATCATGGATTCCATGATAAGCGGACTTGATGGAGTAGCCGCTTATCTTGATGACATCATCATCACAGGGAGGAGTTACGAAGAACACCGCCAGAATTTGGAAGCCTTGTTTAAGAGAATCAAGGACTACGGATTCCACGTCAGGTTGGAAAAATGCAACTTTCTCATGCCAGAGATTTGTTACCTAGGCTGCATCATCGACAAAAGAGGACGCC